GGTGGCGGGAGCTCCATCGACAAGAGCACAGCTCTTAAATTATGAATGAATTAATATATTTTTTAGTAATGTTTGATGTTCAATGAATCTGTAACATTAGTGGGTAAAGGGATTAATCCATTTATTTCGGATTTTTTCCATAGTGGATAACTTATAAACCATGTTAGTAATCGTGAGAATAGTGATTTATAGTAATGGCCTACCCATTACTATAAATCACAACCTTTTGTTTTTTTTTTCGGTGTTAAAAAAATAATTTATTAGAATAATATCTTATGACAATTTCAACAACGCTATCTAGTCGCCAAGCAGAGCTTGTGTTATGGGTACTGGATAACTAACATAAATAGATACACAATATATGTACATAGAAAACACCCGGGCCGATACAAACGATCATATACTTATTATACTCATGAATACAAATGTTTGTGCCCGGTATCGGATCTGCTAGACGCACAACTACCATAGTTGGGTTAACCGAGGCCGTCAGTTTATAAATACAAAATACAAAATATATATATTTACTTATGTAATGTCTATTTTAAATTTATTTATAAAAAAAAAAGTATTTAAGTTTTTATATCATTTGTACCTATCTTTGTTATAGACTCTGCTTACTTCTATCGGTATGGTACTGGTATTGTTATTATACTATTTGATTCTATATATATGGACGTAAAAACTATTTACCTATTTACATAAACATGCAGTCAGTAAACCGAACATGAATGCATTTAGTTTCTAGATGGTTCTGTGTCGAGAGTCGATGAGGAAGACGCCGAGGTCGTCGTTCATAGTCTATAAGTAATAGAATGCATTAGTATATAAGATTTTTTTTAATGAGTGTATTCTTTTTTTTCTATATTCTGAATAAAGAAAAAATGAGATAGGCATAGACTGTCATTCGGAAATTAAATTCAAAATATCTTTATTCATGTAGGTCTATTACAGAATCTTGTCATGTCAAATCTACCATCAGTTCAGAATGATTTCGAGATAAGAAGAACTGACAAGAAACTCAAATCGTATTCTTTTCATATAAATGTTGTACATGTTTACAGTAACACAGATTCATTTTTTAATTTAAATTTGGGAGAATAGAGTGACCACCAGCATATACTATTGCTAAACCAAATAGTCTAATCTGTTTATTGTTCGTAACAGAACAGACCAGTCCCCACAAGCAGCACCCGTTCACGAGTATGACGGATTTGTATTGTAGTATATATTATTTAAAAATAATAGTGATCACTACAATAATTCTTTGTTGAGGTTCATGTACCTACTCAACTTTATAATGGCAGTAGCGATAGTAACAAAAATTGTTATGACTATTCAAAAGTGCTTAAATTAAGTTTATTTGAATAAATTATTTTCTATTATATTATATTGTTAGATCTAAAAAGATACTGTATATATTGTAATTATACATAATTGCAAAAATTCCCTGCCTGAGCCCAGGTTCGAACTCCTAATGGTGCTCTCAGACTAGTCGTATAACTCGTAACTAGTTGCATTCAGCCTTTCCATAAGTCCTTTCGCGGGTTTGGAGCACCATCTACACTCGCCCCCTGTCGTCCGGTGAAGCTGTAAAGGCCAGTTGCGGCCAACAGCATTAGAGTAGTCTGAAAAAAAAACGTAACACGTACCGTGCGAGGATTCGAACCGGCGACCACAAGCCTGAAGGTTACGTACATAATAGGAAATAGCAACATGGACAATTGTAAATAGATATAATAGCTACTTGAGTTGAATAACAGAAGGAAAACTTGAATGAAAGGAAGTTATGACACATTTCTCTGAAAGAATATTTCAGCTATATTTGTTACTTGCGTAAATCTTACGCATCCCGCTATAAATGTATGGAATTTCAGTAAAAAGAAATGACTTTTACTAATGGCGTGACTTAGTCCTGGTTTTTTGCCAAAATACTATTTTAATCTTTACGTTTATTGACTTTTGAAGTTGCGTCAGTGATGTTACATAAACAACTAGCAACGTCCCCCGGTTTTGCTTGAGTTGCTATTCTTTGTTTATTTATGCAATTATGTACGTTTTTAGATGTGACTATATATATGTATGTTTTTTCAGACTACCCTTATACTTATATCTATTGTCCAGTACCCATAACACAAGTTCTGCTAAACTTGAAACTAGATGGCGTTATGATGTATGTATGATTTTATAAAACATTTTTTTTGGAATTACAAACATAATAAACACCCAGACCAATACAAACAATCATACTCATGAATACAAATGTTTGTACTGTACGAGGATTCGAACCGGGGACCATTGGCAGCAAGTCGGTGTACCACCGCTAGACCACCGGAGACGTTACACAGAGTGCTCTATTTTGTTCCTATACGAGTAGGAACACTTCTACCTGTCATTTGCATAGTGTAAATGACAAATTAATATGTCGTATCACAATATATGACGCCAAAACACATTATTCCACTTATCAATGTGATCATAATTGTGCTAACACTCGACTGGGTATTAAATACGCTTTATTTTGTTCATGACGTCATATCGGGCACTTAATAACAAATGTGACGGCCCCGGTGGTCCAGCGGTTGAGTACACCGCTTTACTTCCGATGGTCGCGGATTCGATTCCTCGCACGGAACATTTGTATTCATGAGTGTGATTGTTTGTGTTGGTCTGGGTGTCTTCTATGTATATTAATGTGAGTGTGATTTATAAAATCCTACATTAATATATCTATATATATTGTTTTCAATCATATTTGTACGCGTAATTGCAGTAGCAGTGTCTACTACTACTATTCATTTCCTTAAACCTTTGTAACATGTAGGTCCTTCTCAAATAAAGAAATTAAACTTGTAAAATTTGAATTGGTGTTTACAAAAAATGTATGTGTTTATATCAGTTATCTAGTACCCATAACACAAGCTCTGTTTAGCTTGGGACTAGATGGCGCTGTGTGAGTGGTACTGAAATGTTATCTATACATATAAATAAAATTGGACTGTCTGTTTGTGATATTGAAATAATTGTTTTTTTACTACATGCATAAAATAATAAAATGTTTTGTGACGTCATAGTTGGGAGGGGGCGTGTAATATATATGACCAGCTGTGGCAAGTCACAGATTCAAAATTATGCAATTTCTGTGACCTTTTTACTCATGTACCCTTTCTATATTGTACACTTAATAATAACATTTAAAAGTTTATCATTTTTGGAAAATGGACTTACAATTTTTTACTTTAAAATTGATTTTCCAAATTTAATATTTCTAAGTTAATACAGTCATTAAGCAATATACTGAGTTATCCTAATAGTGTTTCCAATTATCTTAATTTCCATCCTAATCAGTAGATTAACCGCAACACGAACCAAATTGTTATCTTGATTTGTTTTGTTATTCGCGTATTAGTAATATACATAGTATGAAACAAAGTCGTCGTTGTCTGTCCGTCCCTATGTATGCTTAAATCTTTTAAACACTGGACAATTTAGGTACTACATAACTGATATAAATATTTAAATATTTTTTTTTGTAGCGCGAGCCAGAGCGATATAAATAATCATACAAATACAGTGGTATAATACAAATGTTTACATCGTGCGAGGTGTCGAACCCACGACCATCGGAAGTAAAGCGGTGTATCACTATCTGTTGCTAAAAACTACATTTAAATCCGTTGCGTAGTCTAAAAGATTTAGCGAACAATCAGTGGAAACGATTTCATTTTATAGCCCATATGTTATTCTGATGTTTAAGCTACATTACTGTAATGTTTCATCAAAATTCGTTCAGTAGTTTTTGCGTGAAAAGATAAGAAACATCCATTCATACCTGAGTATAAATCAGAAACTTTTCGCGTTTATAATATTAAAAAGACAGATCGTTCATAAACTTGCACTTTTTAATTTCTTTATGCACACTTGTAAATACCAAAGTACCTATACTATGGCGCGGGTGACTATTTTCATAACCCCGTATAGATAGCGTAAGTTTATGAGTTCGCAAAGATAAAGACAGACAAGAAATAGTGTTTGTTTTTTAATTAAATGGGCGTGCCAAGGAACAAAGTCCGTTATTGGCAAGTTCAGATATTTGAGGTGTTTCATCCAACGTAAATAATATTGGTATCTATGCGATAAATAGAAATGGAGGCGGGGTATTGGCGATACAGTCGGATGCAATTATATATACATATCTGTATATCTATACTAGTTCTAGCCTAACTCTAATTATAGCGGTTCGTTCGCGTTAATTTATCCCCTTAGGGGTGGAATTTATCAAAATCCTTTCTTAGGGGATGCGTCTATGTAGCTTTATCCATGCAAAGTCTCAGCCCGATCGGTTTAAGATTGACAAAGTTTCGTACAAACTTTCATCCCCTATTTTGCCCCCGTGGGGGTAGAATGAATCAAAATCCTTTCTTAACGGATGCCTACGTCATAATATCTACCTGCATGCCAAATTTCAGCCCGATCCGTCCAATGATTTGGGCTGTGCGTTGATAGATTACTACGTCAGTCACCTTTGATTCACTAGTTAATCAATATAATAATAAAATTCTTGTGTCACAGTGTTAGTTGCCATACACCTCCGAAACGTCTTAACCGATTTTTATGAAATTTTATATAAATATTCAGTAGGTCTCAGAATCGGCTACTATCTATTTTTCATACCCCTAAGTGATAAGGGTTCTTCACCCATAACATTTAATTTTTATATTTTGGACAAAACTGTTTTTTTACAATGTGGCATAAAAAATAACATACCCGATTTTTTAATAGCGATTTTAATTTATATAGCCAAACAACGTTGCGGGGTCAGCTAGATGTAAACACCAACTACAGCGAAGCATTAGAAATGTTCTAAAAAGAAAAACAAAGTCGTTATTTAGAATTTGCTTCAGATTCGAACTCACGACTCTTTAGTCTCAGTAATAGTATTAAACCACTAAGCCACGACGGTGTATTTATTTTACTAATATATTTTTTCTTTATTTCAGGTTTAAATGCGTGCGAGAAGAAGTCATATCTCTTTCTACGTAAAGAGCTACCCGTTAGGTAAATATTTATCTATTTTTTTTTATTGCGCACCATAATTGAGTTTAGTCTTATCAGAATTGAGAAACTACTGGAAGTTAATGTTTACAAGTGCATTATCTGTCTGTTTAGATGTATTATAATTTTTATCATCATGTTTTTTCTATAAATGTAAGACTTATAAGAAATACTTCGAAATACTTGCATCCGGTATGTTATCACTAAATATTATAATATCAACTTGATCTCTTGGTCTCTTTGTAACTGGTACTTCTTGTTGTTTATATAGGTAATTAATAATAATAATAATATTCTCAGGACAATTTACACAGCGCCATCTAGACCCAAGTTAAGCTAGCTAAAGCTTGTGTTATGGGTACTAGACAACTGATACAAATATAAGAGTAGTCCGAAAAAAAATACTTATATATAGTCGCAAACAATCGTACTCATGAATGTAAATGTGGGTACGGAGTGAGGAATCGAACCCGCGACCATCGCAAGTAAAGCGGTTTGCTAATCCACTAGATCACCGAGATCGTCAAAAATAATGATCATAACATTGTTCAAAATCCGAGAGAAGTCGCTACGCGTAGCTAGTTATACTTAAATATACTGATAGGTACGTATGACGCTGTTATCATTCACATACTAAAGTGCATCGTGTCTTATCAATATTTTATGAGCCACACCAAACAAATGCTTTTGTTAATACCGGTTCGTCGCTATGTTGATATTTTGATATAATTGTTATTGTAAGTTACGGTATTTCGTTTATTATGTAATCAACTTTTAAAGGAGATAGCATTTCTTTATTTTTATACTAGCTGTGCCCGCGACGTCGTCCGCGTGGAATAGTGATTTTCTATAGCATAAAATATTTAATCATCTAATCCAAAGAGCCAAAGATAAAAGTTTCATAGTTCTAGTTTAAAAAATTATGAATTTCCATGCAAACTTTCGTCTTCTATTTTATTTTGCACTTTTAAGGGTAAAATATACTTTTTACCCTTAAAAGTGCAAAATAAAATTTTGAGTGTCATAATTATTTATATTTAATTAACAACCTAAACAATAAGTTTCATGATTTAAAAATGACGATACTTCCATAAATGCTGTGCCCGCGACTTCGTTTGCGTGGAATAGTGACTTTGGATAGCATTTTTAATTCTTTAGGCTAATTATAAAAATAAATGAGAAAATTTCGTTGTTATAGCTTAAAGAATAGAATAGAATAGAAAATCATTTATTCAAATAAACTTAATTTAAGCACTTTTAAATAGTCATAACAATTTTTTTTCTATCTACCGCTCGTTTGGAAAGCTGTCTCAACACAAGAAGAACGAGCAAAAAACTTGTGTGTTGCTCTTTTAAATAATCCTTGTAAGTTTACATTTACAAGTCGAAACGTGCGATTACAAACTACCAACCCGCACTAATTTTTTTGGGTGAAATATAAATATACAATAAGATTAAATCAGTCGTAGTGACATGAGCAGACCATGACGAATATCCGTACAAACTTTCATCCCCTATATTATTTTATCCCTTTAAAGGGTTTTTTTTACAAATTTTGAATGTCATGTTTTTTGTATTTAATCAACTGTCGCTAAAATAGATTACAAGCTTCTAACTTTAAAAATGATGATACTTCCATATAAATTTTCATCACCCCTTTTACAGACCTTTTTTTTCGCATTATTATATATTTTTTATTGCACTTTTAAATACAGTTCTAAACTTAAACATATACAAAGTGAGCAAAGGTGGACTATTATACTTATATATTAATACTTTACATATAAAAAATGTCTTTACGGGACGATTTACCATATCCGAACATGGCGTCTGTCATAGTGTTTTCATTACTTTTAATCTCTCGTGTTTCAGATTGGCGAACATAATGAAAGAGATAGCGTTACTGCCAGAGAATTTACTGCGGATGCCGTCGGTGGGGCTGGTCAACCAGTGGTACGAGAGGTCGTTCGAGGAGATCACAGAGTTCGAGAAGATGGAGCCGGATCCACCCATTTTGACAGAGTAGGTACTATTTTAATTTATTCTGATACAGAGGCGGATCGTGAAGATCGGCCCTGGGCTAAATCTACTTAGAGGCCTACCTAGTTCCTTTCGACCTACCTACCGAGTTCCTTTCGATAGACGCACTTGAATGGGTTGATTGATCTCAACCAATCTTATGATAGGTTTTTAATATTCTAGATATTTTTTTATATTCTAAATATCGTTTCAGTGGGGACTGGAGTCCCTTTGTATTCTCGGGGCCCTGGGCTGCAGCCCAAAAAGCCCTTAGGTAGATCCGCCTCTGATCTGACTATTGTAGTTTCTCAACAACGTCCTGGTCCTGGTGATCTAGGATTCTAATATTGCGGGTTCGATTCCTCGCGCGGGATAAACATTTAATCCTCGTATGTACCCTTTAATATAATTTTGTGCAAATATAAATGAATACCGTGGGACTAGATGGCGCTGAGTTAATTGTTCAGGGTTATTAATTAATTATCCAGGGAGATTGTTTATATCTCTATCGCCATCTAGTCCTAAGCTAAGCAGAGCTTGTGTTATAGGTACTAGACAATTGATATAAATACCTAGATTTTTTTTTAATACATACTTAACACGTTGGGGGTATTGAAAAATCTTATTTCTTTCATAGAGTATTTATTTATTTATTTATTATACAGGTTCTGCGAGCGTCTAGTTCACATACGGAACCGTCACGCGGATGTGGTTCAAACGATGGCTCAGGGTGTCCTGGAGCTGAAGGAGTCCCACGAGGTGGACACCGGCACGGAGAACTCCATCCAGTACTTCCTCGACAGGTTCTACATGAGCCGGATATCCATCAGGATGCTCATAAATCAGCACAGTGAGTTCTCGTTTTTTTTATGTCCCCAGGATGTAAATGAATTAATAGACAGTTTTTATTCTTGAGGTTAAGTAATTAAAAACGTTATTTCATTGTTAAATAGCGACCTGTACCGGCTTCGCAAGAGATTACAAATGTTTGACATTCTCGACTTGTTCTATACTTATGTCTTACTTTATATCTCTACTATACTATGCGTGTTATACGCATATATTACACTACGTGTGCCCGCGGTTTCACCCAACTTCAATAAAAATGTGTTATCCAGATGCATAAGCTATATTACGGTAAAGAGTAATAAACATCCATACTTATAAACTATCGCGTTTATAGTATTATATTATTAAGATATAAACCTTACTGAGCTTGCGTGTAACAGATGAAGATGACCGCATCATCACATCAGACGAGATTACAGTCACTCTCACACTCGCTCCAATTCTTTATAATAAAATAAAGGAAACACCCAGACTAATACTTATACTTATGAACAGAAATGTTTGTACAGCTCAAAACATCCGAACCTGCGACCGTCTGAAATAAGGTCGTTTCCTAAACCGCTATATCAACAAGGCCGTGATTTTTTTCCCAGTTGAGATTGCGGCGCTGAAATTTCGTAACAAAAATAAGGAAACACCCAAACTCATGAATAGAGATGTTCATACTGCTCGAGATATCGAACCGTAAGAGAGTGTGCGAAATCGCTAAACCACAGTCATCAAATGTTAACTTTTAATATGCTAAATGACTAGTTTTTCTTCCAGCCTTGCTGTTCGGGGAGCAGCTAGGGGGCAGGCAAGCGTCAGTAAACGGAATCGGGGCTGGAGGTCGACATATCGGTTCCATCGACCCGGCGTGCGACGTGGTCGCGGTTGTTAAAGATGCTTACGAAAACGCGAGGTTCCTCTGCGATCGGTACTACCTTGCCTCACCCGAGCTGGAGATAATGCAGGCAGGAGGTAAGATTTTAATATTATCTTAAAAAAATGTGATTATGGTGACAGTAGGATGGATGGCTAACGCTTTAGAATCAATACTCCAATAGACTATTGCTATAAAGTAAAAAGTATATATGCATCATGACTAGGGCCATCACTGGACACTGCGAATTGAATAAAGACATGGCGCAATTAGGCCTGAATTTACCACATCGGATGTGTAGTAGCGATTCTTCTGCTTGGCAAAATCTGCAGATTGTTAAATTGACATGGGCTACAAAGCCCACTCATGCATAAACGAAATATCTCCTTTGGAATGTATACACTATATCCTGAGGAGATAAAACCATCGCTCCTAAGAATATTCCTTCAATTCTTGTCCCTCACAGGTCTAGGTAGCGAACTTTAAAAAAGGGCGAGCACAATAGATGTTTGCAGGTCGCAGTGTTACAGGTTTTAGCACCTGACAATAGCCTATAATAAAAAAATGTCCTAGAGTGCACCACACGTTGGTGACAAAGTCCAATCATCGCTGGACACTACGTTCCATGATGCTGGACATTACACAAAAGACACAGATGGAGGAATGTAATCACAGAGAAATTAATTCTACGACACTGTTACGATCCTCACATTTCAACCTAAATCAAATAAAAAAAAATCGTGTATTCATGTGACATTTTAGCCGCTTATGAACGTAAAATTTTTGGTATTAATATTTTTTCACTACCATTCAGTTCAGTATACAGATTTTATCGAGAAGAACTGACAAGAAACTCAATTGAATTTTATTTTTTTAAAAAGACAGTTTATTTGTATTTTGTACTTATATTAAACTGTTGCCATGCATGAGAGTAGGTATTACGTGCGCGTTTTTATCAATATTGTACTTATAAACATCTTCTCATGTTGTTTATGAATTAATATTAATATATGTAAAAATAGATACATGACGTCGGTGACCACGGTGGTCTAGCGGTCTAGCACACCGCTTTACGTCCGATGGTCGCGGGTTCGATTCCTCGCACGGCACAAACATTTGTATTCATGAGTATGATTGTTTGTATCAGGCTGGGTGTTTTCTATGTATATTATGTATGTATTTGCGAAAAAAAATGATCTATGTATTTGTATCAGTTGTCTAGTACTCATAACACAAGCTTTAGCTAGCTTTAGGGTCTAGATGGCGCTGTGTTAATTGTACTGAGATTATTATTATTATTATATATTTTTTGTAAATAATTCCAGTGTCCAGCGAGAAGCCGATGCCGGTAGTGTACGTGCCTTCGCATCTCTACCACATGCTGTTCGAGCTGTTCAAGAACGCGATGCGAGCCGTCATGGAGCATCACGAGGGCAGCCCGCCGCCGATAAAAGTCAACCTGATACAGGGCCGCGAGGATATATCTGTGAAGGTGATTGTTTTTATAACATAGAAATAATACAACTTTTTTTTAATCAACATAATCTAGGATATGTTTATCCTAAGTTACTCCTTACAGTTTACTCCGAAGTGCGATTAAAAGTCCCGTCAAAATCGGTCCAACCATTTCAGAGATTATGAAGAACATACAGAAAGACAGATATTTTTTTTATGTAAGTGGCGTATATACTTTCTTATGCGTTTATAATAGTATTTATTATTATATGCGATTTTAAACGCATATATATAAATATTAATTGCTACAGTAGACTAGACCTGTCCTGCAAGTATCAAGTATAGGAATTTTCATGTACAATATGTATATATTTACACTATGCGAAATACTTATGTTTTCATCTTACCTTCCATGCCTGATGACGACATAATATCTTCAGATGTCAGACCGCGGTGGTGGCATCCCCAGGAGTGTGACAGACCTGCTCTTCAAGTACATGTACAGCACAGCACCGCAGCCGTCCAAGTCGGATTCACACACGGTGCCTCTTGCTGGTGAGTTCATTTTATATATTACTAGTTACCCGCCCCGGCTTTGCACGTGTTTATATGTATTATACATATAAACATTTCTCTTGAATCACTCTACCTATTGATAAAAACTACATTATTAGATCTAAGCGAACAGACAACGGAAGTAACTTCTTTTTGTGCTATGTAAAGATGTATTTGACCAGTTGCTTATAATAATAATAATAATGTTATGTTTGCGTGCCCTTACAGGCTCCATAATGATCTAAAACCAATTATGAACATCTTTCATTGTAATATTATGGAATGCAATAAATATTGAGTATTGATTAAACAGCATTTTCCGCTTCCCCTCCCCGACCTCGGTGGTCTAGCGGTTTAGCACACCGATGGTTGCCGGTTCGATTCCTCGCACGGTACAAACATTTTGTATCCATGAGTATAATTGTTTGTATCGGTCTGGGTGTTTTCTATGTATATTGTTATATGCGTTTACACATAAAAATGTCTAAGTATTTTTATCAGTTGTCTAGTACCCATACCACAAGCTGTGGGAATTGTCTTCAGTTTTTATTATGATTATTATTTACAGGATACGGATATGGTCTGCCTATATCCCGCCTGTACGCGAGGTACTTCCACGGTGACCTGGTCCTCATGTCATGTGAAGGTCACGGGACCGACGCAGTCATATATATGAAGGTAAGTCAACAGCCTTACCAGAAGTGGCAATGGCATAACTATAAAAAGCAATAATAACAGGGGTTATAAATTTAGTTTTAAACTTAGCAGAGGTAGACCTTAAGAACTCGTCTCCGTGTGTACCTCAGTCTCACCTATTTTAGCCACCAAGCAGCTTGCTTTGTAAGCTATTTTTCAGTTGCAGATTAGCTAGTCAAATTACATGTTAAGAGACAGGACTTCTTAGACCTTTGGAATGGCAACGCTGGTGGTGATGGGTACATGATGACATGATGTACGTACTGTTCATGTGTATAGGCAACGGTTATTGCTTACCATCAGGTGGGCTGTCAGCCTGTTGTTGAACTTTTTACAACATTTTTTAGAGGATATTCTAATGGCTTATTATTGTAATTCTCTTAGATTAGTAGTAGCTAGTCTCTCTCATTTTCTCTGATCAAAAAGTCATATAATACACTCAATGGGTACCGCTTTCTATCGCATATATACTTTGATTGCCTAGATAGTCGCGGATTTGATTCCTCGCACGGTGCATACATTTGTATTCATGAGTATGATTTTTATTATATTATGTATGTATTTACAAAAAATAGTATCTAAGTATTTATATCAGTTGTCTAGTACCCATGACACAAGCTCTGCTTGCAGTGGGACTAGATGACGCTGTTTTAATTGTCCAAGATTATTTATTATTTATTTATTTATACATAAACTATAAAAGCATGCGACTAGAACGTCAGCAACAGATAACTTTTCTGTAACAGCAACTCTCTTACAGGCGTTAACAAATGAAGCCAACGAGTTCCTGCCGATCTTCAACAAAACATCGTCCAAGTTCTACAGACCAGTAGCGCAGCTAGCCGACTGGTCGGGCCCAGTCAACACCGCCGCCCACGCCAAGAACAAGGAGAAAGTATCGCCACTATCATCACATACGCCCGTGTCGCATAGTCTATGATGCGAGACCGAGGAGTGAACCATAGATAATTTAATATGTACAGAATGAATTCTTGAGCACTGGTGCCATGTGGAATGTAAAGTTTTTGTTTAATTTATATTATATGTATAAAAGTAATACTTAAGTTGTATAAGTCGAAATATAACTTTACGTTTCGAGAAATTATAAATTTTAAACAGAATATTGTAATATATATATTATTAACTAGCTAACTTCGCCTGCATCATACAATTGGTTGTACCATGAAGACAATACTATATCTTTGTTTGAATGGGCTAACACTAAAATATATTCAATCTTGAAACAGTTCATGAGATTAGCTCGTTCGTCAAACAGAAATGTCACATTTATAATATAATTTAATGGCTGTAAGAAATGCTGGAACATGTTTAAGAACATTTGTCCTATCTGCCGGAATATACATAAATATTTTATCAATCTCATTTATTATTCACTATTTCATTGTTTTTAAGCGTTACATAGACAATAGTTTATAGTTATTGTTTCTATTTACTGACTTAACATTCCATTATGTTCACTAAGTAAAAAGTTTTCTCTCTGTATATAATTATAATCCTTGGTAATGGTCATTCCTGAAACACGCTAACAAAGTTTTTTGTAACACAAGTATAGATAAAATTGTACTTGTAAGTGTTACAATATATAGTTCATATCCTCGACAGAGTCATGTATTTCAGTGTGATTGAGAGCTAATTATTTAATTAATCTCTAATTTATGGTAAATTATTTACCTATTTATAGGATTTAGAAATGTATAAGTTAGTGTTGCGAAATATCGATTTTCGACTAATCGATCGATTTTATAGTGATTATCCCAAATCTTAAAAGTGTATAATAGATTTATATTTATTATAAACAAGCAATTTGATTCATTTTCTAAAAATAATACATCAAAATTATACTACAATAGGTTTAATATAATACAAGAGGTTTTAATCGATTTCTACGTTTATAATGTTGATATTACGTAAAGAGTAATGTCGGTAGTCGATTTAGAGAATAATCACACAAAAAGAACATTATAAAATAAAGTGTACCTACAGTTTACAAAGATTTAAAGAGCACAATAACTGGTATGGAATGGTATTCTTACCGGCGGAAGTCATATTGTATGATCTTTAATAGATTTATTTACACTTCCAAATTTTAAAAACAGCGAAAATTTGGAAAACAAGATAACGATAATTAAAAATTGAATCAGTTTACAAATAAACTAGTTTATTTGTTAAAAAAAATCATTCATTAAATAAAAGAAATTGAACAAAATTGTACGTATTTTTACGTATTACTAATATTTTCTAGATCATTCCAATGCAATGGTTTGTTCTGTATTTGGTGATACTCACACTGGGTATCAGAAACCTGAAACGCGCTATTGAAGTGTTTGTTTAGGAATGATATAAATATAACCAAATTTGATTCGTAGTCAAACTACAGTGAGTTCTATTATAGGATTGATAAATTACTAAGTAATGTCTATTCAAATAGCGTGGAACGGATGGATATAGTATGTATATGTAACTAAATAAATAACATTCATGTCTTTCCAGGAATACTATCGCAAGATATAGCAATAGATGAATAATGTCGACATTTCCGCCAGTTTGTTACGTCATAACTTGGCTAGTGGCACGCCCTGGCTTAACATGTGTAAAATGATTGTAACCATATAATCATTAAAAAAATATTTATAAACATGGAGCCATGGCTTAAAGCAATCTCTCTTACATATAACATAACGAAACTCTATGTTATGAGCAAACTAGCGAAGCAGAGTCGGGCCATTATTATGTTATGTCACTATATCCATCTCGTTCTCGCTTACAGAATACGTATATGTAGAAACGAGACGCCTTTAATGAAAATTGCTGCAGGTATATTGTTTTTATATTTTCATTTATGTGATATTTGTTTTAGGGTTGCTTTTGAATTGTGCCCGAAAATGGACTGATAAAAAGAGTTTTAGTGTTCCGCATAGTTTTGAATCAATGTTATTTATGTATTTATTGTCACGGGCGCAATTGTTGTAGGGATCTCTATTATTTTTAAATTAAAAAAGCCCGTGATTTTTATAAATGACACGCGCAACTACGTCTGCATCACACTTGACATTTATCATTATATTTCGCCCAATTTTAATAATATCTTTTTAAATTATAGCTTATATGTTATTCTAATGTATAAGCTATATTACTGTAAAGTTTTATAAATACCCGTTCCGTAGTTTTTGCGTGAAAGAGTAATCCATTCATTTATCAATCCATACAAACATTCGCGTTTATAATATTAAAGTAAGATGTAGACTTCCAGTTATATTTGTCTCACAATTTTCTACTGTCATCCAAATTGTATGTATATGCTTTATTTGGATAAACTACAATAAATAATATAATATCTCAAAATAATTTACACAGCGCCATCTAGTCCCAAACTACGCAGAACTTGTGTTATAGGTAATATACAAACTGATACTAATACCGAAACTATACAAACAATCATACTCATGAATACAAATGTTTGTACCGTGCGAGGAATCAAATCAGCGACCATCGCAAGTAAGGCGGTGTTCCAAACTAAAAATAAAAAAAAATATATTATTAATTTTAATAAAGTGATATTTTAAATTTGATTCAAAACTATGTCGACATTGTAAAGATATTAAATTACTTTATAATATTGTTAAAACGAAAATGTATAATTTTGTAGGATTGTTAGAATATATAATACAGTATGACTGTGTATGTATGATGTATGTGTATGAGAGTTCATACAAAAAAAGTATATCATTATTATTAGGATAAATTTGTCGAAAAGACGTAAAAATAACAGATAAGCCAAATAATAGCCGACAACTAATTTACTGTTATTGTTTTATTTTAATGTAATAAAAACATAATAATAATAAATTTTGTAAAATCGACTCTAATGGTGAATCTTTAAAGTTTATTTCATAAAAATATTATGTTTGTGTTAATTCAGTTTAATATTAACTAAGCGATATGTTTAAAACTGTTAAATTTAAGTACAAAATAGATATTTTTTTGTAAACTAGATCTTAAAGTTCTAATATTAAAGTCTATTTTACAGATTACAAATTGTAATGTGAAAATATACACTATATACCATTTTTTTTTTTGTATTCTACAGTTATTCAATTTGTACACAACTTGAGTACATAATTTTTTATTCTCTATAAGGATTTCCTGTGTAGTAACATTATATAATAAAAAAAAACTATTTTATTTACGAACTATCTAATACTGTTGGCCGCAGCTGGGTTTAACCGATGAAAATCTAAAGGGCAGTCTATTCCCGCTTTCTTCTTTGTCGGTACTTGTCAGATACGACCTAAGTCTGATGGCACAGATATAGAGGTTCGAATTAAAAATAATCATTACACAAAAAAAATTATAACTAGATATTTTGAATGAAAATCATTTATATTAAAAAGTCAGCAACATAGACTAATCAGTGATCCAGAAATAGAATATGTATATATACTTCATTATAATTAAAAAATGCATTTGTATGACCGGCCGTGGGGCCAGATGGTTAGATAGTGTCTTCTAAAAGAATATGTATGTAATAAAAATTATTGTCATGTATTTATTTTGAGCAAATTTTTATTAAAAACAATAAATTGAGCTATGATTTGTATACGTTTAGATAGGTACAATAGTACGTATGTAATACGTTAGTGCTATTTTTTTATATTAATCTCAAAACAAACTTAGTTATGGGTAAAATATACAATGTAAATGGGTATAAGAAGTTGTAAGCCAATGAGAATACCCATAAAACTGGACAAACTGCAAAAAGCAAAAGGGACAATTAAAAAAAAACAATACATATAAACTGCCACCGTAATCAGTCTAGTATGAAAGTTTAATTCAGATTTCCCGCTTTGTCTTTTTTTTTTTTTTTTTTGTGAGTGTTGTCCAATTTCATGATTTCTATCTAGCTTTTGACTTAAGTATACCTCTTACGATATTTAATTAATTTTTCTTCAAGATGACACGAATAAATATTAATATTTAATTTGCGAGATGACTATAACATCTAAGCAAGTCCCATCATAACTTTATTTCTCTAAAACTCGTAACAAACCTATTCTTATTACTGAACAGTTGTGTCTTTTTTCTTTAAAGTGGTTTTATTCATTTGAAAGAAAGGGACGTAATACCGTTACTAACTCAATTGTGGCAGTTTTTAGTTTTTGTTTGTAAGAGTAATGTTATATTAATATATTCATTGCATTATATAAGTGAGTATTAAAGATTAATACGGTTTTGTTAATAAAATACAAGATATGTATGTTTATAATGTAAAAGAATACGAACTGAATTATTACAAAAAAAAAAATAGTACTGAAAATTCTACCATTAAATAAAACTAATAACAATAGCTCATGTTTTTTAGAATGTTTTTCTAATATGCCTCTAAACTTTGTATCATATATACAGAAGTTGATTTGTTGATCAATTTCGATTTCAACAGTTTAAAATCGATAGATTATAATTTGTATGAACAATTGCAGTCAAACAAACTTAAGTCATACAGTTTAGAAGTCTTAACTGAAATGGACAACTTTCAAATTTTATGACGATAGTTTGCAATTATACACACAAGAGACACTATATTCTCTTAACTCAATTACTCACTTGCATTTTATATACTATGTTATATCGACTTATGTTATTGTAAGTTTTATTCCAAAATCGTTGTTTGTGATTATAAATGTGTAGAGACAAAACATTCAATTTTTACAAATAAAGTATTAAAACTTCTTTGGTTTTCATTGTTATCCAAAAAATCAGTCAATAAAGATAAAGTATAATTTGGTATGATTTAGACTCATCTCATATGTTCACCGAAGGTATCATATAATGAAATCTTTTGGCGGGAATAAGGAACTAATTAATCTATGCTGTTTTGGTCTGTCATTGTATAGTTAGTATGGTTGTTGTGCAGTATATTCTCCAGATGGCGCTATCTCAAAAATGCAGTCTTGATCAAATAGGCATGATAATGTAATACTCCCCTCAGATACCGAAGATGTTGCAAAAAAAGTACAAAATTGCATCATCATTGCTTCAAAAATTATAATATATTACTGTAGTAGAGTGGTACAGGTACCAAGGTCTCACGGTTTGTCAATCTGACAGTACTGATAAACAGTTGTCAGTCTATCATAAACTACGTCACAATTACGATTCGTGTTCCCAGATTAAGTGACTTTTTGCTAATTCGGCTATCTCAATGTAAAACGAAACCTGCAATTGATATAATTATAATTATTTAATAACTAGATTTTATATCCATCTCTTTAAATTTATATATTTTGTTAACAAGGAATGAATAACATCCTCTAATTTATTGAAATCTTAAGTTATGTTTTAGTAAATTTTAGATTTTTATATGTTTACAAATGTAATGAAAAGTTATTGATAAATATTCTACTACTTAAAAAAAATTGGCGACCGTAGGGTAATAGGCAAAAATAATTTGGCAAATTGAACTAAGTAATATCTGGCAACATAGCTAACAAAAACAGTTACATACGTATATATAGCAAAATAGTATAAATTTTAATTTATTCTTGATTTGCCAGGTGGATAACCTTTAGGGTTATGATATTTTCATATTTATATTTCCGCATTATCGTATAAAGAGATAAATTTAAAATGAAGATATATACAAATGAAAATAATACGTCCACGCTAAAGTTGCTAATAGCTGCGAATTTAGCGGGAAAAAAAGTTGAACTGCATAATGCATCGCTTACAGGTATTTTGATATTTATATAGTTTATTTCGCTTGTTAATTGAAATAAGAATAATTGGCTAAAATATTATTTCAATATTTATTTGTTGTGTATGTCAGTTTTTTTTTCTAAGTTGTTTTCTAGTGTTTTAACATATTTTTGAAAGTTTCATCATTCTGTCACATGGGGATTACCAGGAAATTGTGAATCAGCAACGTACTGGGTAAACCGGCGTAGTTTAATTTTATCATGTGTTATGTATATATGTTATCATGTTATGTATTGAAATTGTAGGTTAGTAGTGTTATTTGGTAGACATTACAAACTTACATTGATGTAATAAAAAAAATCCTTCACAACTTATATCACAGACAGGGTAGACAGTATTCTCAACTGTTGCGGTTGGGATTAACCTAATGCAGGTTGTTTTAAAATAAATATTTAGAAAAAACGATTTATTTTTTTCTCCAATTATGCATGTTCGGATTTTCATAAATATGATATTAATATTCCTCTCTAACTCAAATATATGTAGTATGTTTACTTATAGTATAATAATAGATGAGTGGATAAGGTGTTGAGGTGTTACAGACAAACTAAACTGAAACTGTTGATTGAACTGGACATTATTATTTAAAATCAAAATTGAAATAAAAAATAATTTATTTCTATAGGACATTATACGCTTATGATTGTCAATTTTTTTTGTATTATAGTTTTTCCCTACCATCCAGTTCAATACACAGATTCAATTGAGAAAAACTGCCAAGAAACTCTACTGAATTTTTTTTTTTACTTATTTACTTATTTCGATTTTGTGCTTATGTAGGTGTCTATGACTAAGTTTAAATGAAGAAATAAAATAAAACATTTGCCATCCTGCATACTCTTTGCAGATTTTTATATATTTATTTTGAACCAATTTTGAATGAAATTATGTTAATTAATAAAAATCCCGTTAAATAGCAGTTTCACCCGCGTTAAATTTCAATATAAAATATAGCATGTGTTATTCTGATTCATAAGCTATATTACTGTAAAGTTTTATCAAAATCCGTTTCATAGTTTTTGTGTGAAAGAGTAACAAACATTCATACTTATAAACTTTCCCATTTATAATATTAATAATAAGATAGAGTGTCAATTTTAGTTAGATTCAAGAGTAATTGTCTGTCATAGTATGGGCATGTAATGCATAGGAATGAAGATAATATTTTAAGGAAGGTGTTACATATGAATGTGGATGGTTATAAGGACAGACGGAGGCCGAAAAAGAGATGGATGGACTGTGTGAAAGATGATATAATAAGAAAGAGAGTAAATAACGAGATGACTGCGAATAGAGATGAATGGAAGAGGAAAACATATTATGCCGACCACAAATAAATGGGATAAGGAAGAAACAGATGATGTTTTAACATATTTTTGAAAGTTTCATCATTCTGTCACATGGGGATTACCAGGAAATTGTGAATCAGCAATGTACTGGGTAAACCGGCGTAGTTTAATTTTATCATGTGTTATGTATATATGTTATCATGTTATGTATTGAAATTGTAGGTTAGTAGTGTTATTTGATAGACATTACAAACTTACATTGATGTAATAAAAAAAAATCCTTCACAACTTATATCACAGACAGGGTAGACAGTATTCTCAACTGTTTGGGTTGGGATTAACTTAATGCAGGTTGTTTTAAAATAAATATTTAGAAAAAACGATTTATTTTTTTCTCCAATTATGCATGTTCGGATTTTCATAAATATGATATTAATATTCCTCTCTAACTCAAATATATGTAGTATGTTTACTTATAGTATAATAATAGATGAGTGGATAAGGTGTTGAGATGTTACAGACAAACTAAACTGAAACTGTTGATTGAACTGGACATTATTATTTAAAATCAAAATTGAAATAAAAAATAATTTATTTCTATAGGACATTATACGCTTATGATTGTCAATTTTTTTTGTATTATAGTTTTTCCCTACCATCCAATTCAATACACAGATTCAATTGAGAAAAACTGCCAAGAAACTCTACTGAATTTTTTTTTTTACTTATTTACTTATTTCGATTTTGTGCTTATGTAGGTGTCTATGACTATGTTTAAATGAAGAAATAAAAAACAACATTTGCCATGCTGCCAACTCTTTGCAGATTTTTATATATTTATTTTGAACCAATTTTGAATGAAATTATGTTAATTAATAAAAGGCTTTGCCCGCAGTTTCACCCGCATTAAATTTCAATATAAAATATAGCCCATGCGTTATTCTGATGCATAAGCTATATTACTGTAAAGTTTCATCAAAATCCGTTCAGTAGTTTTTGTGTGAAAGAGAAACAAACATCCATACTTATAAACTTTCGCATTTATAATATTTATAATAAGATAGAGTGTCAATTTTAGTTAGATTCAAGAGTAATTGTCTGTCATAGTATGGGCATGTAATGCATAGGAATGAATTAATATTTTAAGGAAGGTGTTACATATGAATGTGGATGGTTATAAGGACAGAGGGAGGCCGAAAAAGAGATGGATGGACTGTGTGAAAGATGATATAATAAGAAAGGCAGTAAATAACGAGATGACTGCGAACAGAGATGAATGGAAGAGGAAACATATTATGCCGACCACAAATAAATGGGATAAGGAAGAAACAGATGATGTTTTAACATATTTTTGAAAGTTTCATCATTCTGTCACATGGGGATTACCAGGAAATTGTGAATCAGCAACGTACTGGGTAAACCGGCGTAGTTTAATTTTATCATGTGTTATGTATATATGTTATCATGTTATGTATTGAAATTGTAGGTTAGTAGTGTTATTTGGTAGACATTACAAACTTACATTGATGTAATAAAAAAAATCCTTCACAACTTATATCACAGACAGGGTAGACAGTATTCTCAACTGTTTGGGTTGGGATTAACTTAATGCAGGTTGTTTTAAAATAAATATTTAGAAAAAACGATTTATTTCTTTCTCCAATTCTGTATGTTCGGATTTTCATAAATATGATATTAATATTCCTCTCTAACTCAAATATATGTAGTATGTTTACTTATAGTATAATAATAGATGAGTGGATAAGGTGTTGAGATGTTACAGACAAACTAAACTGAAACTGTTGATTGAACTGGACATTATTATTTAAAATCAAAATTGAATTAAAAAATAATTTATTTCTATAGGACATTATACGCTTATGATTGTAATTTTTTTTTGTATTATAGTTTTTCCCTACCATCCAGTTCAATACACAGATTCAATTGAGAAAAACTGCCAAGAAACTCTACTGAATTTTTTTTTTTACTTATTTACTTATTTCGATTTTGTGCTTATGTAGGTGTCTATGACTAAGTTTAAATGAAGAAATAAAAAACAACATTTGCCATGCTGCCAACTCTTTGCAGATTTTTATATATTTATTTTGAACCAATTTTGAATGAAATTATGTTAATTAATAAAAAGGTTGCCTGCAGTTTCACCCGCATTAAATTTCAATATAAAATATAGCCCATGTGTTATTGTGATGCATAAGCTATATTACTGTAAAGTTTCATCAAAATCCGTTCAGTAGTTTTTGTGTGAAAGAGAAACAAACATCCGTACTTATAAACTTTCGCATTTATAATAAGATAGAGTGTCAATTTTAGTTAGATTCAAGAGTAATTGTCTGTCATAGTATGGGCATGTAATGCATAGGAATAAATTAATATTTTAAGGAAGGTGTTACATATGAATGTGAATAGTTACAAGGGCAGAGGAAGGCCGAAAAAGAGATCGATGGACTGTGAGAAATATGATATGGTAAGAAAGGAAGTGAATAATGGAATGTCTGAACAGGGTTGAATGGAAGAGAAAACATATTACACCGACCACAAATAAATGGGATAAGGAAGAAGCAGATGATGAATAATGTATCAAATTTGTGTATTTGTATCTGGAAGGCAATAAATAATATTGTTCAAACAAACAACAACTATTTGACAAATTATTATGTTTTAAAAGCGATAGTAACATTCAAGGAGGAAAAAGAAACAGTAATAATAAAGGCATAAAATAACTACAAAATCGCCGTTACTTGTACCTAACAAAATTCAACAGAATATTTATAAAATAGGTACATATTACATTATAGTTTGTTTCATTGTTACTTAGTTTTATTATTGTATTAATAATGTAGGACTAGGTTAGAATATACCAAAACTTGTATTATTAAGCTCAATTTTTTTTGTATTTTAATCATTAAATATATGTAGGTATTTTGTATAATATGAAAGAATTATAATCTTATTAATATTATAAACTCGAAATTTTTTGGGTATGGATGGATGGATGGACATTTGTTACTTTATCACACATAGGCAATAATTTATTTATATAGAAAGATAAGTAAAAACATCAAAATGTACTTTAAATATTATTAGCATATAAAAATTACGGGTTTTTTTAATTTAAAAATAATAGAGATCCCTACAACAATTGCGCCCGTGACAATAAATACACAAATAACATTGATTCAAAACTATGCGGAACACTAAAACTCTTTTTATCAGTCCATTTTCCATTTTCATTCAAAAGTAACCCTAAAACAAACCATATAAATGAAAATATAAAAACAATATATAGAGGTTAGAGTGTAGGTATATATAGTGAATAATAGCTATCTTCCCCTAGTTAGGTACTAGATAATCCTATATAAGTTCTCCATAGTCATTTATTTATTATTGCATATGATAACATTTTTTAATTAATGATAATGCAATGCTACACCCACCTGAGCTAACAGTATCGCTGGTACCCCTCTATAAGTGGATTATAGGATTACAATAATATCCTTTACAATTCACGAAACTAGTGGTCTAGTGGTTTAGCACACCGCTTCACGTCCAATGGTCGCGGGTTCGATTTCTCGCACGGTACAAACATTTGTATTAATGAGTATGATTGTTTGTATCGCTATGTTTAATATTTCCTTTTTATTAAAATTTCAAACTGATCAGCCAGTTGCAGCGGGCTGATTTAAAAAAGTAAAACGGCTGGAAAGTAACCGTGTGATGCACAGCTTTATGTTGATTTTATTTTATATGAAGTGTAGAATAGAAAATCATTTATTCAAATAAACTTACATTGAAGCACTTTTGAATAGTCATTACATTTTTTAATCTACCGCTCGTTCGGAAAGCTGTCTCATCACAAGAAGAACGAGCAAGAAACTTGCGTGTTGCTCTTTTAAATAATTTTATTATTACTTTACATTTTTAAGTGTGTGAATACAAACCACCAATTAGCACTAATTCTATTAAATACTCAAAATTCGTGTGTTGAAAAACATACGATATACGTGCGTATTTAACATACTCGGCTCTATTGCGCCTTCGTCTTCGGCTGGAATTTTGCTTCGAGTATTATAACTCATTACACATTTATATCGCAATCTTTACTATTCTATATATGGATTGGTGGAGGGGTATCCTTACTAATATTAGAAATTCGAAAGTAATTCTGTCTATCTGTCTGTCTGTCCCGATTTCACGTACCAAATTGTATTTTTCATTCGTTCCTCGACAAATGAACTATCCAACACAAAAAGAATTTTACAATTCGAACCAGTACTTCCTGAGATTAGCGCGTTGAAACAAACAAACATACTCGTCACCTTTAACTTTGTACAGATTATTTATTTACCTATATTTTATTTTATTTATTTATTTATTTATACTAGTCGACCAGCGCAACTCCGTTTGCGTTTTATTTCCCCACCTTTTGCAATATTTTTCATTGCAGCTCCTCTTCTATTGGTCGTAGTGTAATGTTATACCTATAAATTAAAGCCTTCCTGGACAAATGAATTATCCAACACAAAGAGATTTTTTCAATCCTAAGCAGTAGTTCCTGAGATTAGCGAAACAAACAAAAAAACTCTTCAGCTTTATAATTTACTAGCTGTTCCCGCGACCTCGCCCGCTAGGAATTTAACTTTATTTTTCTAAAATAAAAGTAGCCTAAGTTACTCACAAGTTATTACATCAGCTACCTGCCAACAAAAGTTCCGTCAAAATCGGTCCAGCCATTTCAGAGATTAGCCGGAACAAACAGACAGACAGACAGAAATTGTAAAAAATGTTATTTTAGTGTATATACCGTTTTTATATTCATATGCATGTAGTAAAAAACTGTTATTTCAATATTACAAACAGACACACACACCAATTTTATTAATATGTATAGATAGTCACATTGTGTATGTGCAAATCAAATTTGCAATCATTTCAGCAGTTTAGGAGTCCATCGCGTACAAACAATGTGACACGTAGGTAATATATATATATAAAAATTGAATTGCTGTTCGTTAGTCTCGCTAAAACTTGAGAACGGCCGAACCAATTTAGATAATTTTATACTTGAAATGTTCGGGGAAGTCCAGGGAATGTTTAAATGGTGATAAAATATGAAGGAATTGCATGTGAAATAGTAAAAACAACAATTATAATTTCCCATACAAACTACTGAAACCTGTCAAACCCTGTTTGACAGGTTTCAGTAGTTTCAGCGTTCAGAACATTTATTGCGTAACGAAACTTCAAAAAACCTTTGACATATGTATATAATTGAGGCTGTGTGGAGTGCGCGAGGTCAGCTAGTATATATATATAAAGATAAATATATATAAAGTTTGTTTGTTTCGCTAATCTCAGGAACTACTGGTTAGAATTGAAAAATTCTTTTGCAATTTGATCCAACTAGAATCCTTTCTAGTTGGAGTGACATTTCAATTTATAGTCGCAATATTATTTCACCTTAGCCACAGCAACGCGTGCAGTATCAGTATAGTCTATTTATATTGTATAACAATATTATTGTAATGCTTCTACTAATCCGGGTTCATGGTACTAAGCGTTCGGTCTGCTTACAGACGATATATTCACAGGACCGCGGGCCTTGCCGCTCCTAGAGGTAGATGAACAGCTCTCATTCTTCTCCAGCAATGCGGCTGTACAGTATTTATTCCCCATATTGGATCTGAGCGAGAATGGACAGTGGTAAGAATATTACGACCTTACGTTCTGTATAGGGACCATTTATAAATTAGGTCACACATTGAGGACGAAGTGTGACAAGACGTGGCGTTACGCGGCAGTATAGGGGCCATTTATAAATTAGGTCATACTTTGTCACACATCCACGAAAAATCCACAGTCTAGTCCAGTTTAGTCCACATTAGTAATAATCTCCTTCCTTCGTGTGCACTATACTTTGTATTTTAACTAGCGACCATACGCGGCTATATAGGAGCCATTTATAAATTAGGTCACACATTGAGGACAAAGTGTGACAGTGACGTGGCGTTATACGCCTTGTCACACTTTGTCACACATACGAAAAATTCACAATCCAGTTCAGTTTAGTCCACACTAGTAACAGTCTCCTTCTCCCTCTGCACTATACTTCGTATTTTACCTTACGATCCACTAAGGCAGAGGATCTCAAACTTTTTTGTGTCGTAGACCCATATTTTTATTTATTTTCGGTTTTGGGTACACTCCCCGTTCTTACCTGGTATTGATTTTTTTGTAAATTTCTAACTGTAGTAAAGTTTAGTGTTAAAAACAACAAGATGACTGCTGTTGTAGACCCCTTTCAGTTTGTCATAAACCCCTGGGGGTCGATATAGACCACTTTGGGAATCACTGCACTAGGGCTTTACGCGGGGTGTATTTGGGATATTCATATAGTAGGTCACACACTGAGGACAAACAATCGATATCTTTTTTTCTATTATACCACGATTGTGGAAAGCAAGCATACGGCCCATCTGATGATTGATATCGCTGTTTCCTTCATCAGAAAGTCAGTCAGAAATATAACATACACGTGACACCCCTGGTGTCTGAGGCGTCCATAGGCTACTGTAACCGTTTACCATCAGATGGGCCGTATGCTTTTTTGCCACCTACGTAGTATAAAAAAATAAGATAAAACAAAATAAGCAGTAAAATTATAAATTGTTGTACAGTAATATTAGAAAATTCTCTTCACTACAACATTTATTCTTCTAGAAGTCTACATAAAAGAGTAATAAAAAAATCTTTGTAGAATCTACACTTGTTTGCTGTCTCTTTCAGCCAACAAATGCAAGAGTGGGAAGCAACACGTCTGTTGCCCGCTGTTGCAACAGTGATCACCAGCAAGTCGGTACCATCAGACCTAAAGCAAGCCCTCAATTCATTATTACAGACTATTAACGAACACCTTGGAAAACATAAATATATACTTGGTGTAAGTATAGAATATTATATTTATGGTAACGGTCTCTGTAGTCTAGCGGTTTAACACGCCTCCTATGGTCGCGGGTTCGATACCTCGCACGGCATAAACGTTTGTATTCATGAGTTGTTTGTGTCGTTCTGGGTATTTTCTATGTATAATATGTATGAATTTACGAAGAAAAATGTATTAGTATCAGTTATCTAGTACCCATAACACAAGCTTTAGTTGCCTTAACTTGGGTCTAGATGGCGCTGTGTGAATTGAGATAATAATAGAAATAGAAAATAGAAATAATCTTTATTCAAATAAACTTAATATAAGCACTTTTGAATAGTGAAGTTTTTTTATTCTACCGCTTATTTGGAATGCAGATTCATCACAAGAAGAATAAGCAAGAAACTTGTGTGTTGCTCTTTTAAATAAATATTGATTTATTTATATTTAATTAATAACAAGGATTAGGCATGCGACATTCAACATAGAAACCGCTACGCATTATTATTATTATATAATAGAAAGATCTTCATACATCATCAGTCATAGATATTTGTTTAATCTACCTGTCATTCGGAATGCTGTCTCCTCACAAGAACAAACAAGAAACTGTTGCTCTTTCAAATATATGCTGTAATTTTATATTTTTAAGTTGAAATGTGTGAATACAAACTACCAACTTGCACTAATTCATCAGAGTCAAAATATTAAATACACGACCAACTGGTTGATTAACTAAATAAGATTAAAGACCTAAATTAAAGCTTCTGTTCTGAGTACTAGATCACTGATACAAATACGAAGATATATATATACATATTATACATAGAAAACACCCAGACCGACTCAAGAATACAAATGTTTGTACCGTGCGAGAAATTCAAACCTTTGACTATCGGAAGAATAGCGGTGTGCCAAACAGCTATACCACTGAGGCCGTCATAATAAATACAACATGACTTTCCATTTATTTTAATAATTTCTTAATTAAGTATACCACGTGTATTTGTTATCAGCTTATCAGTGATATATTTATAGTAAGTTTAGACATTTCTTTGAATTAAGTTGTTAGTACTGGTTATTATAGCTATTATGTTATCTACGCAGTTAGTGTTTGTACGTCTCATGCTCAATAGTAGGGATTTTACCTATATTTTTTTATACTACGATGGTACAATAGGCATACGGCCCTTCTGATGGTAAATGCAGGGACGCGATGTCCCCATACAGCGCCTGTGTGCGAAACCTATCAAGCGCCTATTTTGTTACAAATAATGTTGACCGAAATAAATGAGAAGTAAATTACTATAATAGTAAAATACTATAGTATTATAATGTTAAATAAATAAGTAAGCGTAAAAAAGTAAAATAGTATAGTTTAATAATCTATCTATTGACTATACTATACTAGTACTAGACGCACGTGTGCACGCACCATGGAAAATTAAGAAATTTGCTCCGTTAATTAAAAATATACATTTATACTAATATTTTCATGGTGTATTTTGGTGTTGATTAGAAAATGAAAGTAAAAATATCTATAAGTATCGATATAATTTGACTGAGCATCGATATTTTTAAAACAATGATGAATCCTTAGTAATCTACAAGTCTCTACAGATAGAAAAGGTTTTTTTTATTGATTATAATGGAATGGAGCACCCTGCACTAACTGTTTACGCTGGCGAGGCACCAGTGGAGGATGAAAACTTGAATATGAGGTCAGGTCAGTTTGGCCATCATGACAAATTTGCCAGAATTATCATGATGGTTTACAGGGGATCCGCGTGGAGGTCAACCTGACATGGTACATTGGTAGCAATGGGATCATCAGTCCCCATTACTAACAATCCCCTTTCCCTCCGACAGAAAGGTAATATCATCCATTCTCGGAATAAAACATATTATTATTGCTGGCCTCGGTGGAGTAGCCGTCTAGCACATAGCCCCAGTTCCGATGGTCACGGGTTCGATTCCTCGCACGGTGCATTCCGAACTGACGGTAGATTTGATCATAAGAGTGTAATAGATCTACATGAATAAAGATATTTTTAATTTGAATTTTGTGTAACAAATGAATAAAATTTCATTTCTTTAATTTCATTTGACTATCATGTATATTGTATAATGTTATGTTGTAGGAGAAGCTGTCAGCCGTGGATATATCAGTGTGGAGTACACTGTACCCTCTGTATTATAACAAAGACTACAATCAGCAATATTTGAGCGAGTTCGTAAACATCAAACGCTGGGTGGAAGAGCTAGCTGGAGCCAAGGCTGTGCAGGTATAGTACACGTGTTTAAGATATTTTATAGTTTAAGGGTCGGCCACGCGCACGTGACACCTGGTGTTTACCATCAGATGGGCCGTATGCTTGTTTGTTTGCAAACATTGTTTTGTCATATAAATTAAAATCGCTACTAAAAATAGTGGTTGGTGATAGAAGGGAGAAAATGAGTGGTTATGTATTTTTTAATGCCACATTATAAAAAAATAAAATTTTGTCCAAAAAAATAAAAATAAATGTTCGGATTGGACAACCCTTATCACTTAGGGGTATAAAAAATAGGTAGTAGCCGATTCTCAGACCTACTGATACATATGCATATTCATAAAAATCGGTCAAACCGTTTTGGAGGAGTGTGGTAACTAAACATTGTGACACGAGAATTTTAAATATAAGATTTTAAATATGTATTATAGGACCTGATCAATATAATGCTCAATCGTTATTATAAAACAAAATGCCCATATATTTTGTAGTATTTTAATCTTATATATAAAATTCTCGTGTCACAGTTTTCGTTCCCATACTCCTCCGAAACGGCTTGACCAATTCTCATGAAATTTTGTGAGCGTATTGAGTAGGTCTGAGAATCGGCCAACATCTATTTTTCATCCCCCTAAATGTTAGGGGTAGTCCACCCCTAATTTTTTTTATTATTTTAAGGCAAAACAACGTTTACCGGGACAGCTAGTTTTAGTATAATATAACCTCGGCCCGCGGTTTCACCCGCATGAAATTTTCAGCCTATGCGTTATAAACTTTACATTATTGTAAAGTTTCATTAAGATCCATTCAGTTTTGCGTAAGAGTAACAAACTTACATCCACACTCACAAAGTTCCGTGTTTGTAATATTAGTTTTTATATAAATTTTATTTTAAAGCGAATTTATTTTAATTTCATAGTTAGAGATACAGGTATTCCTCTCTATTTGATGCGGGTGACGAGTAACTGATCTTTGTGACTGAATTTGTAATTTTAAAATAGCTGGACCCGCGACTTCCTTACCTTGGTATTGGATTGGTATAAAACGAACATAAAATTTTAAGTGAAGTCTATAAGATTACATTACTGAAAACCACATCCACATTGGTGGAGCCGTTTTTGAGAATATCGCGCACAAACGCATAGTTTAACTAAAGCTACGATAGTTTAATAGAATAGAATAGAATAGAAAATCATTTATTCAAATAAACTTAATTTAAGCACTTTTGAATAGTCATAACAATTTGTTTTTTATCTACCACTCGTTCGGAAAGCTGTCTCATCACAAGAAGAACGAGGAAGAAACTTGTGTGTTGCGCTTTTAAATAATGTTAGTTGTTTAGTTAATGTTATAAGTAGTAACTTAGGACATTTTTATTTTAGAAATTTTATTTATTTAATGGAAACAAAGTTAAATTTGACGCGGACGAAGTCATCAGTATCAATAGCTAGTTAGGAATAAACATGTTTGTATTGTGCGGTAATCGAACCCATCTCTATTTGAAGATGCGGCTAAACCGCTACTCCACTGAGGTTGTCATAATGATATCGAAAATCAGTATCGTAATTTATCTAGCTATCTTGACTTGTAAATGAAATCGAAAGCCTCTGTCTATACACACATCTCTTGTCTATTGCATCATCCACATTGTTAATCTATTTTATGATTTCGGAGAAACCCGATGTCTAATGGAGGGGAAGGAGGTGGAGAGGGGGGGGGGAGGAGGGTATGGGCATATGCAGAAGGGGGGGGGGGAACAGGAACGAACGGTTCAGAGCAAATCAAAAATAATTTATTCAGGAAGCACTTTTAAGCCGCTTATGTACATCAAATTTTTGTATTATATTTTTTTCCCTACCGTCCAGTTCAGTATACAGATTAAATTCAGAAGAACTGGCAAGAAACTCAATTGATTTTTTTTTAATAAGCAAGTTATTTACATTGTGTAGTTATGTAGGTGTCTATGTCTGACATTAAATGAAAATCCCGAGGTGGAGGGGGGGGGGGGGGGTATGGGCAAATGCAGAAGAGGGGGGGGACAGAAACGAACGGTTCAGAGCAAATCAAAAATAATTTATTCAGGAAGCACTTTTAAGTCGCTTATGTAATTCAAATTTTTCTATTATATTTTTTCCCTACAGTCCAGTTCAGTATAGAGATTAAATTGAGAAGAACTGGCAAGAAACTCAATTGATTTTTTCAATTGATTTTAAGGCGACGCCGTGATAAACTATTACTTCAAAATCGGGCCCCGCGCTCTGCGCACCTCATGCACCCCGATAGTTTTACGTGTCGCCGATCGACTGCCAGCGCTCGCTCTTCCTGTACCATACTTTCGAACACGCGTCCGTGTTGCAATGTAACGCGTGGTACAGGTAGACGACACTTCAGTCCCCAATTGAACAAAACTATTACAGAGTCTTCCTGTTTGTTTATATAATTTATATTTATGTATGTCATAAAAATCCCGTGCATGAACTACTATTGCCATGCACGATTGTCATTAAAGTAATCGTAGTATGCTTTGCATAGTAAATTTGTTTTAACAGATGATTTGAATTTATTTAAAGGTAATTAGTATATCCTTTGGTATCATTACGTCCCGCATCCCTTTTGTTCAGTATTTCGTTAGTCAGGACCAATTTACTGCAATATTCCCCCTTATTCCTTGCTTTAGGATAGATAGCTTTAGAAAATTGTTATTATTTATTACCTGTACCCGCGAGTTCGTCTTTGTGAATTATATATCTTTATTATTCTAAAATAAAAATAAGCTAAATTACTCCTTATTACAACAGCTACCTGCCAATAAAAGTCCCGTCAAAATCCGTCCAGCCATTTTAGAGATTAGTCGGAACAAACAGACAGACAGACAGACAAAAATTGTAAAAAATGTTATTTTGGTGTATGTACCGTATTTATATTCATATGCATGTAGTAAAAAACGGTTATTTCAATATTACAAACAGACATTCCAACTTTATTTATATGTATATATTCATCCGAAGCAATATATTGTGTATGACATCATACAAGGTCGGTTGGGATTGTTAGTAACTATTAGTTTTAGTGATTCTGATATTGTTACACTGATTATTATTATTATTAAATGCAAAACTACCTAATATTGAACGTTTAATCATTTTAATCTACTCCAAAGAAATTCTACTGAATCGATAATTCTGGTTTGATAAAACAATATATTTTAGTTACATACTGATATACAATTGAAAAATTGAAGGATGCAAGTACCAGAGACCTTGACTGATACAATTTAAAACAAAATTGTTTGATAAAAATTACACAGACACATTTTGTTGGGGTCCTTTCTATGACTTCTTGATCATTTAGTTCAAAGAATCAACAATATTTGTTAGGGTCCTTTCTATGACTTCTTGATCATTTAGTTCAAAGAATCCAACAATATTTGTTAGGGTCCTTTCTATGACTTCTTGATCATTTAGTTCAAAGAATCCAGCAATATTTGTTGGGGTCCTTTCTATGACGTCTTGATAAATTTAGTTTACAGAATCCAGCAATATTTGTTAGGGTACTTTCTATGACTTCTTGATACATTTAGTTCAAAGAATCCAGCAATATTTGTTAGGATCCTTTCTATGACTTCTTGATCATTTAGTTCAAAGAATCCAGCAATATTTGTTAGGATGCTTTCTATGACTTCTTGATAAATTTAGTTCAAAGAATCCAGCAATATTTGTTAGGGTTCTTTCTATGACTTCTTGATAAATTTAGTTTACAGAATCCAGCAATATTTGTTAGGGTCCTTTGTATAACTTTATTCCCTATTTTATTTATACTCTTTATTGCACCAATTACTGAAAAAAAAATAGTAAATATACATAAACTGATACAAAAGGCGGTCTTATCGCTAAGCAATCTCTTCCACTTCCTTGGGTCTTTGGGTGGATAAAAATTGCAAAATTAAAAATAAAATCTTTATGTTTTATTTTTTGTAGTTTTAGTCGTTTATTAACGTAAATTTTTTTATCTTATATTTTTTTTCCTACCGTCCAATTGACTAGCGTGCGCGAAAGTAAAAATACGAAAAATAAATTAAGTAATGTTGTTTTTTTGACAGGAAGCACTCCTGCAATGGAACGGTTCACCAAGTGGCCCCTTCGGCGTGTCATCAGCTCTGGGCATTCCTTTATTACCCAGCTTCATCTCTCCTGTAGGGTTAGTACTTTATTTTTTTTTATAGTTTAATTCGTTTTCTGTGACTTCGGAACTGATACGAAATTGAAACCTTCAAGAAAATAAATTATTCCTTCTTGAAAGGCCGGCTTGAAATGCACTTGCAATTCCCCAAATGTTACGGGTACTCATGATCACTTACCATCAGGTAAGCCGCAAGGTCGTTGGTCTCCTGTGCTCCAAAAATAAACTTTACGTGCACTATGCACACGCGTTAGGATTACATATTTCTTTTTTAATTATATTAGTGACTAGCTACCCACCCCGGCTTCGCACGGTTTATCATGTATTATACATATAAACCTTCCACTTGAATCACTACATCTATTTAAAAAAACTGCGTCAAAATCCGTTGCGTAGTTTTAAAGAGTTACATAGGGACGGACAGACAGCGATATTGTTTTATACTATGTAATGATTAAAAAAACCTAATGTCCTCTATAAAAAAAGAATCGTCTTCCTATTAATGATGGTTTCTTAAATGTTTGTTAATTATCATCGCTAACGGCAACCTATCATCTGGGCTAACGGTTTGCGCTGGCGGGGCACCAGTGGAGGATGATAAGTTGAGCATGAAGTCAGGTCAGGTTAGCCCATCCTGGCAAATTTACCAGGAATATACCACGATGGTTTCGAAGAGGAACCACATGGAAGTCAACCTGACACAGTACATTGCTAGCAATAGGATTATCAGTCCACATTACTAACAATCTCCCTAATAGTGATGGTTTCGTTCAGGTCCCCACAAGAGGCCGATGTGGGCGTGTCAGCAGAGGAAATAGAGGCGGCCAAAGACAATTGGATCAACGGATTAAGCAAACTGGATAAACCACTCATACAAGAGAAAGTCGTGTAAGTATAGTATATTCCACATAAAAATTACTATATATTTTTTTTATGTATGATTATGGAATGGTGCACCCGCCTGCGCAAATGGGACACGCTGGCGGAGCACGAGTGGAGGATGATAGGATGAGTATGAGGTCAGGTCATTATCTGGATGAATGGCAGTTTTGCACCGGCGTCTTTCCATAAACTTTTTGCCACGCACAACCACATTGTCGAATAACCTTCCAGCAATGGTATTTCCGAACCGATATGATATTGAAACCTTCAAGAAAGAGGTTATTCTTAAAAGGCTATCAACGCACTTGCAATTCCTCTGCTGTTGCGGGTGCTCATGGGTGGCGATAATCACTTACCGTCAGGTGAGCCGAAAACTCGTTTGTCCCCTATGCTATAAAAAAGTATATCACAGTCAGTTAGTATATGACAAATTAGTCGCGTTACGATTTTACAATTGACGTGTAATGTGTATGAATTTTTTTCAAATCAAATATCATTTGTTCATGTATATTGTAGAACATTTTATGTATCAATTTTACAATTCACGTATGTGTTTTTTTTTTTAATCAAATCAAATCAAAAATATTTTAATCATGTAGGACATATTAGCGGCTTATGAACGTCAAGTTTTTGTATTATCATTTTAGTGCCTATGGTCCAGTTCAGTGTACTATATATTCTTTCAGATTGCCGTTAAAAGACCGTAAGAATGTGTTGATCACATCAGCGCTACCATACGTCAACAATGTCCCACATCTCGGTAACATCATCGGCTGTGTTCTCTCAGCTGACATCTTCGCCAGGTACGTATATATATTTGTATAGGGAACACGGTATTTCATTACACATTTATATGTGTTACAATAAAACAGTTGGTGTTACTGGAACACCTGTCGTCCTACTAATATTTTAAACATTTTTTTTCTTATGGATGATAATGGACTGGTGCACCAGCCTGCGCTAACGGTTTACGCTGGCAGGGCACCAGTGGAGGATGATAAGATGAGCATGAGGTCAGGTCAGTTAGCGCATCGTGGTAAATTCACCATGAATTTATCACAATAGTTTCCATTTGTTTTAATTAATTAAATTACTTCACTGACTCCTTACATATAGCTTGTTCATAGGTGATGTTTTCATAATTATATACTGTTGTAGGTATTGCAGAATATGCAATTATAACACATTGTTCATATGCGGCACGGATGAATATGGAACTGCGACTGAAACCAAGGTATGGTTTATAAATACTTTATACATAAACATAGTAATAATCACTGTATCTTACCATGTTATACCCCATGATCATGGGTAAACTAAGTTTACCATATCATGGTTGAAACACTGCCGATATATCGATAACTGAATAAAAATAAATAAAACGCGGTAAAATCCTATCCATCCTTTACATATAATATTTATTGATTAAAAATTGCGAGAAATAAGTTTATTTATTTATGATATTGTCATACACAGTTTTCAGGTAGTTTTGTACAATAAAAAAAAAATATCTAAGATTCACCAGAAGGATATAATACTCACAATATTAAATTAAAAAAGCATGTATTTTAATTTAATTGTTGTGGAATACTTTATTACCTACTGCTCTTACTACAAAACTGATACCAGTTTAACATTATGTTAAACTTTGAGTATGAGTTACCTAAATATGTTTACAAACATTGATATTTATAAATGTAACAATCGTAGAATTGTATTTATAACAATTGCAATATTTACTACATTTCTTAGATAATTTATCTGTAATGTTTACGGCACAGATAAGATAATACATTGCTAGTAATCCACAGATAACTACCTAAACATAGACTATAACTATATAGTCTACTGGATTATTAGTATAGTATAATCTTATCTATATAGTATTAGTATTATTTACGATCTTATTCATAAAAAATCTTATTGTAAATTTATGGAGATAAAACGTCAACTAATACCGATTGTTTAAAACCGTGCATAATTGAGGAACTAGCTTCTGACCATCATTACATAGTATAAAACAAAGTCGCAGTCGCTGTCTGTCCGTCCCTATGTATGCTTAAATATTTAAAACTACGCAACGGATTTTGAAGCATTTTTTTTAATAGATAGAGTGAATCAAGAGGAAGATTTATATGTATAATACATGTACACCCGGCCGAAGCCAGGGCGAATAGCTAGTGATAGATAAATAATAATTTTTACTTAAATATTAGTACGCACATATAGGTTTAATTATAAGTATTTAATAAGAATAATATAAGCCAGTTTTTTTAATGGGTGATCATGGAATGGTGTACCCGCCTGCGCTAACGGTTTACGCTGGCGGGGCACCAGTGGAGGATGATAAGATGAGCATGAGGTAAAGTCAGTTAGTCCATCGTGACAAATTCACCAAGAATTTATCACGATGGTTTCCAGGGGAACCGCGTGGAGGCCAACCTGACATGGTACATTTTTAGCAATAGTGTTATTAGTCCACATTACTAACAATCCCCCTGTTTGCAGGCGTTAGAAGAAGGCGTCACGCCGAGACAGATTTGCGACAAATATTTCGCAATACATGACGCCGTATACAAATGGTTCAACATCGGCTTCGATTACTTCGGCCGGACCAGTACGGAAGAGCAGACAGAGTGAGTTATGAAATTGTTGTGTTCACTTATTTATTATTTAAGTCTTGATATCTCCTGGTATATAAGTTGTTATCACCATAACATCCGCTCGTTAGCCACAGCTACACGTCTTTACACGTATATTTCGGACTACTCTAATGCTGTTGGGCGCAGCTGGCCTTTATAGTTTCACCGGACGATAGGGGTCAAGTGCAGATGGCGTTCCAAACCAAAGGAAGGACTTATGGAGCGACTAAAGGTCAACTCCCGCCTGACGGATACGACTTTAGTCTGAGGCACCGTTAGGGATTCGAATCCCGGCTCAGTCGTAATTTCGTTCCCTGTTTGAATTGTATGAGGAATGCACAATTTTTGTAACAATTAGTACAAAGTTTTTTCTAAGTATATAATGATTACCGAAATGCTATTTAACTGCAGTACCTACCTTTTAACCAGAAATTAGATAATGTCTACCTACTCTGCAGTCATCAATCAGATTACTTTTGTCATTTTACGGTTAACCCTGTACAGTAAACAAGATAAATAAATAACCTACTATCGTATTGTTGGTAACGTGGATGATGTACCTATATCATCGTAGTTAATTCGCCAGGGGGGGGATTGTTAGTAATGTGGATTGATAACCCCATTGCTAGCAATGTAACATGTCAGGTCGACCTCCACGCGGTTGCCCCTGGAAACCATCGTGTTAAATTCCTGGTGAATTTGTCACGATGGGCTAACTGACCTGACCTCATGCTCATCTTAGCATCCTCCACTGGTGCCCCGCCAGCGTAAACCGTTAGCGCAGGCGAGTGCACCATTCCATTATCATCCACAAAAAAAAAATCGCCAGGGGGGGGGAAGGTGATTGTTAGTGATGTGGATTGATGATGGATATGAATGTATATACGGCACTTACATAAAAAAATAGTTTCGATACTTTTGGTCTGTTTGTTTGTTCTTGCATTTTTTTTAAACGATTTTATCAATTCAACCAGACGTTCACTCGCAGATAGCCAATGTTATAAGGAGTAAAGTAGGTTATTTCTATCTTTTCTTGCTGGGCTACACCTTCATCTCACGATAGGGGGCGAGTGATGGCACTCCATACCCGCGGAAGGACTTATGCAGCGGCCAACCCCCGCCTGAGGGATACGACTTTAGTCTGAGGTGCTAAGTGTTTGAACCTCGGGCTCAGGCCGTCGTAAATGCGAATTGGACGAGGGATCGTTCGGAGGGAGGTGCTAGTATTAATATAAATTTATTTCTCTTTTTACAGAATTGCACAAAAGATTTTTGTGAAACTAATGGATAATGGATTCGTGAGCAAGCAATCAGTTGAGCAGTTACTTTGTGAGAATTGTGATAGGTTCCTCGCCGACAGGTCAGTGGTTCGATGCTAGTTTACGAGTTTAGTATAATGCCAAAACATATTATTGACTTCAAATGAGATGGGATAAAGAAGAATGCGAGTTTTAGTTTTAGATGATATTTTTTTCTAATTCTAATGATATTGGCCGCAGCTGGCCTTTACATCTTGACGGGACTATAAAGGCCTCTTCGCCTTTCGAGGCGGGGAGGGGGACGGGTAATAACTATTCATAAATGCTTATATTAAATTAATTTGAATAAAGATTGTTTCTATTATATTATTGTTGATAAGTAGAATATGCATGTTTGTATCGGTCCGGGTGTTTTCTATGTATCATTACTACATAGTATAAAACAAAGTCGCTGTCGCTGTCTGTCCCTATATACATAGCTTATATCTTTAAAACTACTCAACAGATTTTGAAGCTGTTTTTAATACATAGAGTGATTCAAGGGGAAGGTTTATATGTATAATACGTGCATGATATTGTAGATAAATTCTGATAAATTTAGAGAAGAGAGTGATGTTGTAAATAAACTAATTTTTTTCGCTTCATTGCAAATGCTGGCTGAACACTACGAGATAAAACAAAATAATGTACTACAATATTGTACATCTTAAAAAGGTCAACATAAAGTCTGCGATGGTATATGTCTATCTCTTAAGGATAACCCTCAATAATTATTTTTTATCCTTTACATTTTACTGGAAAAAATCGCTTATTTACAATGTGATTTTAAGCAATACAGCATTAATATTTATCCAATTAAGTACCTTAAATACATTGTCCATTTATATAAATCAATATGGCCCGTTACAGCATGTAATTTAAATGAATATTTCCGAAGATATTACAGATTTAAAATGCAGGACATAGCGGCGGCGCTAAACAAAACGTGTTTGTACTGTCTAATGACAAAAAAGTTGTAATCGTTGTTTATAAGGACATTATGTAGTAGGTAGGTATATTTAGTATCGGCATTGCGAAGCTGGGGCAAGTTGGTAGTTTACAAAATAAATGTATCTAAGTATTTATCTCGTACCCATAACACAAGCTCTGCGTACCGTACGACTAGATGGCGCTGTCTCAATTTATAATTATCCTATACTAATAAGTGTTTTATTTTAGGTTTGTAGAAGGCATATGTCCACATGTTGGCTGTGGATATGAAGACGCGCGCGGTGACCAATGTGACAAGTGTGGTAAACTGATCAATGCGATAGAACTGGTGGAACCTCGATGTAAGGTCTGCGGCCACCGTCCGATCGTGAAGCCCAGCGAGCAGCTGTTCATAGAGTTGGGACAGGTGAGTGTGACCAATGTCATCATCATCATCATCATCATCATCATCATCATCTTTATCATCAGCCCACTGCTGAACATAGGCTATATAACATCTAATTCTATAAAATGTGTATTTATTACAGTTGGAATCGTCTCTCCGGTCGTGGATCAGTACTTCAGAGCACCAGTGGTCCCCACCGGCTAGGGCTGTCACCCGCGCCTGGTTTAGAGAACCGCTGCACGCCAGGGCTGTCACCAGGGACCTCAAGTGGGGAGTGCCAGTGCCTATTGATGGGTTTAGAAATAAGGTGAGACTAGCTTGGATTGTATGTAGCACTTGCAACCCGGCCCCGGCTTTACATGCGCCAAATATTTTAAGTTACCACCCATCAGAAATTAAAATACTATCCTGATCGTCTGAATGAATAGGCACAACCACATTATGGAATCACCTTCCAGCAATGTTATTTCTTAACCGATACGACATTGAAATCTTCAAGAAAAGAGCTTATTCCTTCTTAAAAAGCCGGCAACACACTTGCAGTTGTGTTGGTGTTGCGGGTGCTCTAGAGTGCTCAGAGTGCTCAGAATAAAAACTGACTGTGACTATTCAAAACTGCTTATATTGTAAAGGTTGATTGTTGGGAGGACAAATGGCTCCAGAGTTTGGATATTGACTATCTTTATTAGTATAAATACGCGTTATATATATGATTCATGATGTACTATACACTAGAATATTAAGTTTATTTGATTAAAAATTATTTCTATTCTATTCTTTCTAGGTGTTTTACGTATGGTTCGACGCACCGATTGGATACGTCAGCATCACACAAACTGCAACGAAGGCATACGAGAAATGGTGGAAGAAGGACAAAGATTATGATGTGAGTGTTTTTTATGGATGATAACGGAATGGTGCACCCGTCTGTGCTAACCGTTTACGCTGGCGGGGCACCAGTGGAGGATGATAAAATGAACGTGAGCTCAGGTCAGTTAGCCCATCGTGACCAATCCGGCAAGAATTTATCACGATTGTTTCGAGGGGAACCCCGTGGAGGTCAATCTGACATGGTACATTGCTAGTACTGAGGTCATGAGTCCATATTACCAACAATCCACTTTCCCCTATGATGTGAGTATATCATATTATTGTGACTAGCTGTGCCCGCGACTTCGTCCTCGTGGATTAGTGACTGGAGAGCATTTTAAATTATTTATGCTAATTATTTTACAAATAAGACATGCATGATATCGTTTTAGCTTCAATAATGACGAATTTCGATGCAAAGTTTCATTTTACCTACTCCTTTCCCTATTTTAATTTACCCCCTTAGGGGTTAGATTATACAGAAGATGTATTTTTCAACTACCTAAATAATGTTAGAGTTCACATCAATATTGTAGAAAACATCCGATATTTTAAAAAGATATTAAAAAAAAGTAGTTTGTGTTTAGTACTAATGAAGTACCCAATGTAAAGATTATTATAAATATTGTAAATAGCGCCATCTAGTATTTATAGATCGACCTTCTACACTCTTCGGTCTATAAATATGGAGGTCGGTAGTTGAATAATCCTCTTTGGTTGGGTGAGCCGCGGCATTCAGTCGACGAGCGCAGAGCGTGCCGGTTGTGTTTTGGATACTAAAGTGAATTGTATTAGGAATGGGTTTATCCCGGTCTTAGTTGGGCCTGGGGGGAAGTTGCAAGTAGTGAAGGTGAGTGTTAATGCATTCTAAAAGGGCCTTTTAAACCTACACCCGTGTCACAAGTCACGGGCGCTACTTGGGGTTTCCCTTGCGGTAGCCGGCTTCAAAGCCTAAGTCGTCATCATTAATTAGTGCTTCTTACAATAATAAGTTTCAAACTTCAAGCTTTAATAATAACGATACTTTTATACAAATTTTCGTCACCCCCTTACGGCCCTTTTTTTAACATTAAAATGTAGCCTCAGGGTCTAGATTATCTGGGTATCAATTTTAATTTAAATCGGTTTAGTAGTTTTAGCGTAAAAGCTCAACAGACAGACAGATAAAGTTACTTTCGCATTTATATTATTAATATTAGTTGTAACTTTTTGAACTATGTATGACTGGGGTGGATTAAATGGTTTTTAAGCTATTAGTATTTCATTAATGTAAATTTTATATTGTAGGTGAAGTTGTACCAGTTCATGGCCAAAGACAACGTTCCGTTCCACGCTATTATGTTCCCGGCGACGTGCCTGGGAATCAACGAGGATTACGTGCTCGTCAGTCATCTGTACGCTACAGGTATATATTAATACTAGCTGTGCCCGCGGTTTGACCCGCGTCATATTTATAGCCTATGTGTTATTCTGATGTATAAGCTATATTGTAAAGTTTCATTAAAATCCATTCAGTAGATTTAACGTGAAAGAGTAACAAACATCCATCTATACTCACAAATTTTGGTGTTTATAATAACAGTAAGATAATACGTGAAGTTTTTTACTTTTAAAAAAACTTTGCTTTTTACCAAAATTGCGCGGACGGACAAGTATGCAATTTTGCACACTTATATACATTTTATTTAATTTTACTTATTTGTATTTATGTTATAACTGAGAAGCACTAAATAAATGTTTTTTCTTTCTTCTTTAATACACATTGGTGTAGACACAGTTTTTATACGACACGTTCTTTCACGCGCGATAGAAGGGCGTTAGATTAATGGAGGAAAGTGCACGCGCGCAATATGATTATATTTTGTTTTAATTTTATTTCGATAATATTTCGTTTTTATTTCCCGTAGACGTAATTTTCAAATTGTTTTTGCTCCATAGGCTCATGTTCGCCATTTTTCATCAATAACATTAACAATTTCAGAGTATCTTAATTACGAAGAGGGCAAGTTTTCAAAATCGAGAGGTGTTGGTGTGTTCGGTACAGATGCACAGGTAATTTTATATATATATAGTAACTACCCACCCCGGCTTCGCACGGGTGTACTTATATTATACATATAAACCTGCCTCTTGATTGACTCTATTTATTAAAAAAAACGCTTCAAAATCCGTTGCGTATTTTTAAAGATTTAAGCATACATAGGGACGGACAGACACCGACAGCGACTTTATTTTATACATGTAATGATATCTACACTTTTTTGAAGTTGGTTAATTAATTAGAAACAACAATGTGCCAAATTCAAACTTACACCATTGTGAGTATAAGTCGAGTTACTATGTGTTACTATGATTTCTAACATTTATTTATTATCTATACATATAAATAAAATTGGAGTGTCTGTTTGTAATATTGAAATAACCGTTTTTTACTACATGCATATGAGTATAAATATGGTACATACACTAAAATTTTTTTTTTACAATTTTTGTCTGTCTGTTTATTCCGGCTAATCACTGAAATTGGTGGACCGATTTTGACGGGACTTTTTTTGGCAAGTAGCCGATGTAATAAGGAGTAACTTAAGTATCCTAAGTATTATTTTAGAAAAATAAAGTTAAATTCCACGCGAACGTAGTCGCGGAAACAGCTAGTGTAAAATAAGGTTAAGAAATAGTTATACTCATATAGATATACAACCACCTTTGTGCAGGATACGGGTATACCATCAGACGTGTGGCGGTTCTACCTGGCCAGCGTCAGGCCGGAGACATCCGACTCCAGCTTCAGTTGGGCAGAACTGGGCACCAGGTGAGGGTTTCTTTGTATTTTGTTGAATTTAATTGTATTAAAATGCTAAAATTAATCGATTGAGTGATGTAATAGATTTTTGTCTACCTACATATATATTTATATTGAGGTTGACCTTGTTTTTTTATAACCGCTGTAAGACGGTCCCTCGCTCTTGCTTGGTACAGTGTTAAGAGCGGACACATATTGGTTTCCTAGTATTAAAGTAAAAGATAAATAAACAAGTGACAAACACACAGTATACACAAATTAAAAAATCATTTATTCATGTAGGACATATTAGCCGCTTATGAAGGTAATTTTTTTTATATTATATATTTTTTTCCACCGTCCAGTTATATATAGATCCAATTGAGAAGAACAGCGGCCTGAGCCGAGGTTCGAACCCCTAGCGGTGCCCTCAGACTAAAGTCTTCTCCATCAGACAGGAGTTGGCCTTCAGCCGGTACATTCACAAGAAAAGAATTAAAGTTATTAAGTAATATTTATAAATTAACTAGCAGACCGGGCCGCATGTAGCTGTGGATTAAGTTAAATGATATTGTGATGTAAGCTATCCTATCTTTCAAGTTGGATCAAATTGCACACAATGTGCAAATCAAATTTGCAATCGGTTCAGTAGTTTAGCAGTCCATCGCGGACAAACAACGTGACACGTAATTTTTATATATAAAGATTTTGAACAGAAACAATTCTGAGCTGCTGAACAACCTGGGCAACTTCTGCCACCGCTCACTGAGCTTCTGCGCCAACACCTTCGGAGGCACGGTGCCAGAGATCAAGCCAACGCAAGCGGACTACGAACTAATCGCATTAGTCAACAGGGAGATTGCCGGTGAGTTTATATAGATAGATAAATTGGCGCAGGCAGGTGCACCATTCCATTATCATCCATCAAAAAATATATATTATTTATACATTACATTAATAGTATCACTGTATTTTTGTGGACCATCATATTTATGTGTACATATGTAACCTGTGAATATTGTACAGCATACGTGCAGCACATGGAGAAGGGTCGTCTGCGAGAGGCTCTCAGGAACGTGCTATCTGTCTCCAGACTTGGTAACCAGCACATGCAGTCAGAGCAGCCCTGGGTGCTGCTCAAGGGCTCTGATGATGACAAGTGAGTCATACTCTGGTATTTTTTATTCTTATTATTTTTATTGGTGGTAAGTGTATACTTTTATTTCTTTCGCAGTCTTTGAATTTATAAATTCTTAGGCACCCATTACGATTTGTAATGTGAATCACTGTAGGATATATAAATATACATATATTAAAGTCCGGCCGCTCAGTTTGCGTTTCTGACAGGCACTGTAGGATATTTATATTAAATTCTCTCTTAGTTTGCGATGACAGGTCGGGATCGAATTGGCGATGTAACTTTGAACTGACGTACAATTTACAACAATATTTTAAATATTTTTTATTTGCATTAACAATTAATGATAACAATAAAAATTTAATAATTATTCCAGCTTACAATAATATTTAGAGATAAGATTAAGATGTTATATGTGTCAGGGAGCGTGGTGCGACGGCAATAGGACTGTGCTGTCAACTGGTGGCTTTACTGGCGACCCTCCTGTCGCCATACATGCCTGATACCACGCGCCGTCTCCAGGAACAGCTGAAGCTGGACCCCACCGTCCTCAGGCTGCAACCCAAGTGAGTATACTGTAGAACTATGCATTGACCAGCGTTTGTAAGACATCTGGTGACAAATAGACGACTTGGGTAACGACTATGTATTATAGCTGGTATTGTGTAACTAATTTGATATTGACATTTATAATAAGATTATTTAATTATGAGAATAACATGTAATTGTTTTTTTTATTTCATTTATATTAATTTGGTTAGATCCGCTACTATAAGCATTTGTGAGACCACAAATATTCGGCGAGCAGGCTACGACTTAGACGAATTTATTGAATAAAAAATGTTATGTTTCAATAACATTGATTAAATTAATTCCTATCGAAAAATGTCAACTTTGTTATGTGGCAGTATATATATTCACACAAAATTCCAAAAAATGTAATTCTGAACAATATTTCTTTAAAAGAGCAACACGCAAGTCTCATGCACGTTCTTCTTGTCATGATTATGCGTAAGAACGCAGACTCATCACATGAGTGGTAGACACTACTCATGAGTGGTAGAATAAAATATATGACCATTAAAAATTGCTTATAATATAATATAAAATTTATAACGTAAACGATTGTTCAAGTAAAGAAATATTTAAATTTAAATTGAAAAGATGGTTACTCGAGAAAATGCATTAGTATAAGTTCTATATTATAGTTAAATTGTAAATTAAGTATAAGTAAAAATGAGTGTCTTTATTCGCCAACAAACTGCAAAGCAGTTTGGCGATAATTGTAAAAACAAATTGTATATATGTAATACTTATAAATAAAATTAAAAAAATAATATAAGCACTTTTTAATGGTCATATATTATTATAGTTTATTGGTATATAAATTATTTATATTTGTTGTTTTCTTTTTACAGTAACCCCTCGTTCCTCCAGTACTTGCCAGTCGGCCACACGATCGGTAAACCGGAGCCGTTATTCGTGAAGATCGAGGCGGACCTGCTCGATCGGTTACGTGTCAAGTACGCAGGCACGCAGAGCGAGAGGGCCAATAAGGTAGTTATGAATTTTTCAACACACTCCTAATAGCTTGTGTAAAGGCAATACTTTCGCTGAAAAGGAAACTGATGGAGATATTCAGTGGATGTACAGCAGTAAATATAATTTAATTATAATTCAAAATATCTTTATTTATGTAGGTCTAGTACAGGCTCGTATGATATGTCAAATATACCATCAGTTCGGAATGATTTCGACTCCCTGACGGATCTAGGTAGCCGAGTTTGAAAAAGAGCGAGCCCGATAGATCGCTGAGAGAAAGTCGCTGTCGCTGTCTGTCCCTATGTATGCTTTCTTTAAAACTACGCAACGGATATTGAAGCGGTTTTTTTAATACATAGTGATTCAAGAGGAAGGTTTATGTCTAATACATGTACACCCGGGTAAAGCCGGTACGAGTAGCTAGTGTATAATAAACAAGAAATAGATTCTCTAAGACATCTATTCTCGTAAGTCTACATATTTTTTGTAGACTAACGGAGAATAAATGTAACAGAACAAATATAAATTTTTGACCTCTAAATTTCAAATCATTATTGTTACTGTGCAGGCAAATGGTGAAACTCCAATACTGACAGCATCGGAATTGGAGGCAGCCATTGCGAAACAGGTAATTATGGTTTTTTTTTACCGCGTAAGTTGTCGATTCCTATTTTTGCACGATTCAATCATTTATTAGTATAGGTATATTGTATTGGGGTATTTTCTACGTATATTATAATACCCTGGACAATTCATTTAGTCCCAAGCTAAGCTAAATAGAGCTTGTGTTATTACGATACTATACATACTAATACATATACTTATGTATATTTTTTTGTAAATACATACATATATATATATATATATATATATATATGTATATATATATATATATATATATATAATATGGGGAATGGGACTGTTAGTAATGTGGACTCTTGACCCCATTGACCTCCACGCAGTACCCCCTGGAAACCATCGTGATAACTTCCTGAACTTAAAATAAAATTAAGTAATTATCGGTTATCAAGTGCCCATAACATAAGCTCCGTTTAGCTTGAAACTAGATGGCGTTGTGTGAATTAATAATTTGTGACATGGATTATTATTAATTTTTATAATTTAAACAGGGTGAAGTGGTAAGAAAGCTGAAAGAAACGACAAAGGATAAGTCAGTGTGGCAACCGGAGGTGAACAAACTGCTGGAATTGAAGAAACAGTTGGTCGCGGTGACAGCAAAGCAACCAACCAACCAACAGATCAACGGCCCCAGTGATGTGGCCAGCCTAGAGAAGGCCATTGCAGAACAGGTTCGTTATTATTATCATTACATAGTATAAAACAAAGTCGCGGTCGCTGTCTGTCCGTCCCTGGCAACTGATATAAAGACTTAGATGTATATTTTTTTGTAAATAAATACATATTATACATAGGAAACACCCAGACCGATACAAACAATCATATTCATGAATACAAATGTTTGTACCGTGCGAGGAATCAAACCCACGACCATCGGAGAGTAAAGCGGTGTGCTAAACCACTAGACTACCGAGGCTGTCTGATAGAATAGAGTTCGATCAAAAGAGATGTAGCTATATTTTTTCACCAGATTTTTTTTTTAATTCAATTTTTGATGTAAATTCTTTACTTAAATACTTTAATAAGAATTTAAAACCTGTTAATTTGAAATTACAAACAGACACTTCAATTTCATTTATTTGCATAGATACGACGAAAATAAGATTTTTTTCCTTTTTTTCCTCAGGGTGATAAAGTAAGGAAATTAAAGGCGTCGACCAAAGACAAAGCAGTATGGCAACCGGAAGTCAACACACTACTTGATTTGAAGAAACAACTCGCTGCGTTACAAATCAACAAATAAATATGTATTATAATGATATAATATGTATTAATGAAATAGCAGTTACATATGTGCGTACGTACTGTATTTTGGCGACGCAGGACTATCACAGTCACGTTATAACGTGATGGCTGTGATGCTGTTCATGTATACACGCAATGGTCACCATTTACCGTCAGGTTGTACCGTTAGCATGTTTGCCGTTATAATTACAACAAAATATGTCGATTTGTATGTTTTGTAGTTACCAATGGTCCTTTATTATGTAAGTTACTATTAAAATATGGAATACTAGACACTTTACCCGGCTTTGTATGAGCGCAATTACAACTGGGATTTGAAAACAAAATACAGGTAAAGTTAATTTGTGATAAAGCTTGCTGTAAATGAAAGAAAATATATCGGAAACTATAAAAGTAAAATGTGGTAAGATCCCATGTTTTACTAATTATACATATAAAAGAAAAAATTTAATCGGTGAAGTATTTTTGAGTTTATCGATTATAAATGTGAAAAAGTCAAATTTGGAAATGTAAAGTTGAGATTTAGGATTTAGGAAAATACATACTGTTTGTATTAATTTTTCTGTTTATGTATTTATTAAAATAAAAAAAAAGTTTATCAGAATTTAAACACAAAGTAATATTAGAATCGGTGTAGCCGTTTTATAAGGATTGGATTGACATATACACGGACAGAAAAGATAGAATTTGCCACTATCGTAGTATAAAATAAAAATTTATAATTATTAAGTAACTACTAACGGTATTGTTTTTATAAACAACACCTTAGTTAGTTCTTAGTTCCCGAGGTAAAAACACTTACAGCCGAAGGGCGCAAAAAAATATCTTTTTTTTATATAAAAATTACGTGTCACGTTGTTGATCCGCGATGAACTCCTAAACTACTGAACCGATTGCAAATTTGATATGCATATTGTGTGCAATTTGATCCAACTTGAAAGATAGAATATCGTACATCTCAATTTATAGTCGCAATATTATTTTATTCAAGAACCTTAGCCACAGCAACGCGTTGCCGGGTCTGCTAATAAACTTATAAATTTAATTTTAATTACAAGTTAATAAATAAAAATAAAAGTTATTAGATCCTCGAATGTTTGTTTGGACCCGTATTTTTTTTATTAAATTAGTTTTATCAATTTATTTATTGTGCTTTATAGTATTATTCTAGATCGCTAACTATTGTTTCTTAGTTATAATAATGTCGAAAGCATTTATTTGTAAAATCTCGACATTGAATGTCGAATAAGACATTGATTTATATATGTGGGTTAATTTTTTATGTTTATTCCACGAAAGTTATTTGTTGGGTTTTAAAAAAGAGATCCTTAGTTGTTGGTTTGATACTAATTTTTATTTCTTTTATGTTATGATTTTATTATTATTTCATATGTATTTTAGTCTAAAAGATATTTGTAAGGACCATATAACCAAATTTTTTATAATTCAGGCTATATGCCCAAATACCATAGATACACAGAAAAAACCTTATAGATTAACATACATATGAAATAATCGTATAATATAAATCGTCTGTGGTCACGGCACTGATGACGGTAATCTGCCACGGTAGCGCCGATACACCACACCCTTCAGCCAGCAGTCCTCCTTCAAGAAGGTGGGCAGCATGTTGAACCAGGCCACTAGGCCTCACAGAGAAGCAATAAATGAAAAGTATAAAATAATATATATGTATAATGAGCCCTGTTGGGAAATATACAAACCTATGCAATTATTCAATTGTGGGTTCGATCCAGTGATTTATTCATATATATTCTCTTAAACAATATTTTTATTATATTAAAAATAAGTTGTCAAGCTGCCTTCAACACTAAGTATTGTATTGGAATTGCTTTCGTGGAATGAAGTCTTAAGTTATTTTTATTTTTTATTCAGAATGGTAATTTTTTAAGTGAAAATTGTCCTATTACTGAATTAAGTCACAAGATGTACAATTGTGAAGTGTAAAACTTATTATATTATTGTACAGGTTTAGTTGTAAATGTATAAGCAGAAAGGCATGAAAGTAAAGCAAATTGAACTTTGTAATATTTTTTTACATATTTTTCAAGCAAAATGACGGCCCATAAGATGTTTATAAGCGGAAACTAGGTAAGAAGCTCAAACGAAACAGGTATTACCCAATGGGTTAGAATGCGCACTGAGAACTACTATTTAGTCCAATGCTAAGAGGCATCACTGGAGCAAGACAAACTAAAGCTTCAAGCTTATTTCTTTCTATGTTCTTTATGTAATAATTATTATTTTCAATATAATTGTTATTCTAAAATGTTTATAAAATGACAATACTATCAAACATACAATCTCCACCGTTTGATCCCCCATTCAAACGGGAATCGATTACAACGGCCTGACTGAGGTTCGAATCCCACGCGGTGCCCTCAGACTAAAGTCGTATCAGTCAGGCGGGAGTTGGCCTTCAGCCGCTCCATAAGTCCAACCTTTGGTTTGGAGTGCCATCTGCACTCGCACCCTATTGGTCGGTGAAGCTGAAAAGGCCAGCTGCGACCAACAGTATTAAAGTAGTCCGAATAAGTTTTTTTTGTAAAACACGTGATCAATGTAGATTTCCTTTTTTTTTTTTAGTAAAAATGGTCCAGTTTCATTAGTATACTACGTGGCCATTTGGCTTTGTATACCCTTTACAACTAACCCTGTACATGTAAGGTGCTGAATTTCACGTCGCCTTTTTATTATTAGTTATTTTGTTGTACGGTCTGTCTGTAACTGCTATTTCGTCACGTGTAATTATTAAGTATAGATAGGTATATTTATTTCCCAAAGCTTGTGATTGCAATATTTTATGTTTAAAATTAAACGAACATTAAATGTCCTTATTAAATGATATTTTGTATTATTATAATAGAAATAACAATAACAATAATAATAATAAAATAAATGATTCTTCCATTTAAAAGATCTTCACCAACATCATTTCTGTTATGCTACGTTTACATTCTGCCGCTTCCCCTGCCATTCGCGCTGCCGGAAATATTGCCGGGCGACAACTGAGCGAGAAGGCTGAATATAAGAACACGCTGCCAGTCCTTTTGACTCGCGCACAAAAAAACCGACAATCAAGGGAGCGCCGGACAGCGCGATTGACAGCGCCAATGGCATGGCAAGTGTTTCCACTCTCGCGCTGCTCACTACCCTGCCCACTTGGGCCGAGTGTAAATTGGGCATTATGCTTGTCATTGTATATTTAAAAAATATCTAAAATATATTTATAAAAAATAATAATAATATTTATTACAGCCATCAGAAAGGAGAGGTTATAAAGAATATGCAGGAAATGACACAAAATTATGAATTTATTGACAAAAATATTTGAATTCGTTGACAATTTTTATAGCTTAATATAATAACTCGGGACAATTTATACAGCGCCATCTAGTCCCAAACTACAAAGCTAAACTTAGTAATATAATACATAAGAGTTTTACAAATGAGGTCGTGGGTTCGCATCTCTGCGCAATGCAAACATTTGTATCGTAATACAATTATATGTATGTATATATATTGCTTGATATTTTATAGCATAGGGGACAAGCTTGTGGCTCACCTGATGGTAAGTGATTATCGCCGCCCATGAGCACCTGCAACACCAGTGGGCTAATTATGTAACACGATATGAAATTGTTTCTGTTAAAGTTATGATGCAATATGAAATCATTTCAATTTAAAAAATGCGATCAAGTAAGGTCGAATGACCGCAACATAAATCATTTCTATCGATAAAACACTACTATGAAGTTGCAGCGGAATATTGTTAATCCGACCAATTTAAAAAGTCAGTACATTAGATAGCTTATACCTTTAGAGGGATACATTTTAATTTATCGGGTTGTTACACTAGTTGGTTGATTTGAAACAATTTTTATTGCGTTCAAAAATTACAAAATATGCTGCAGCGTTCACTTGTTCTTTTATTTTAATTTTATTAATAGACATTTAATAAAATAAAATAAAGAAAGTCTATTCTATTCTAATGAAAAAATAAGGTTAATAATTTTGAATATAAAAGCATATTTTATACAAACTATTTATAATCATTAATAATATTAATCTAACCTACAAATTAAATTTTCTTTTCTGCTATAGATACCTAGGTAAGTACGTAGGTATCCATATAAATTTAAAATGATATGGGCACATCTTTTTAAATCTGTACATAATTGTAAAAACTCTAAACAAATAAATTTATTTACTTTAAACAAATCACAGAGCATCATAAACGTAGAGCACCGTATTCATTGAAATAGTTTTTTAATTATATTAATATCATAATCAACCCTAATTTTATATTAAACATTTACTCTAGTTAATACAACATTCTATGTGATTTGGGACGAAAATAAAATATCGAATTGGCAACACTGATGTCGTGTTGTGAGTCGTGACAATTTTCCCATTTTAATAAATTTAAAACCTTTTCACGACTTTCTACGTAATATTTAATATAATAAAAATATATGTAATACTGAAAATTACCAAAACAAGATAAATAATGCTGCTAATGCTGATATTTTAAAGATTGTAACCAAAAGAAACACCTTCTAAATTGTTTCTCATAATATAAAAACCGTTTCAAATCCACGCTGTCATTTCGGCAAAATAGCGATTACGTGACGTTACAACGAGGTTACTAAATCGACATTCGATAGAAATAATTTTTATCGATATGTAAAGTTGCGTTTACGTTGCAATGCTAGTTGACAGCGTCAAATGGCGTCTATATGATCGCATTATTGACAGATGACGTCATTTTCACTACGTTACATACGAAAATCGTTGCGTACGAAGTTACATAATTAGCCCACAGGGGAATTGCAAGTGCGTTGACGACCTATATGATTTATACAAACAGACGATCTGCTCATAGTTCAGGATTAGATGGCACTATGTATTTAAAGGTTAAATAACAAGTTCTGGTTCTGGTTCAACCGCGGTTTCAGCCACAAATGATACAGAACATAGATTATAAATATATACAGAGATTGATGCGCAAATAACATCAATTTTAATTTCATACTGACATCTGATTCGCAAGTGTGAGTTCGCAACTGCAACTGTGATATCCATCAGTCCATAACTTCATACTAACATCCTGGTATCCAAATTTCATAGATGCCGCGACAGAGTATACCGTAAAACAAAGGTTTATTTCGTATTATTTAAGAAAATAATGTTTCAAAATAAAATTTCATTTCATTTCAAATGCGAATTCATAGCTTCCAACAGCCACTAACGACTGTCATTAAGAATTACTAAACTGCCACATCCTGTAGTGTCCACAAATTCATTTTTTTTCCTTATATAAACACAGGGTGTTCATTTTATATCCATTAAGAAAAATCTGTTTTAAATTAGAATTCTTAGCTTCCAAATCCACTAATGACTGTCATGAAGAATTATGAAACTGCCACATCCTGTAGCGTCCACAAATTCATTTCTTTCTCCTTATTATGTACCTTAAGGTGAGCTTTCAAACTGGACGCCTTCCTGTAGGCCTGTCCACAAGTGTTACATACATACGGCCTCTCGCCAGTATGACACCGTATATGACTGATAAGGTCATTCCTTTGAGCGAATGCTTTTTCACAATGCGAGCATTGGTACGGCTTTTCTCCAGTGTGTGTTCTTCTATGATTCGTCAATGTACTTGAAGCTTTGAACCTCATCGGGCAGAACTCGCAGGAGTATGGACGTTCCCCGGTATGTATGCGGCGGTGCTTGACTAAGGAGCTGGAGGTGGTGAAGCCGTTCCCACAGTCATCGCACACGAATGGGTGTGCGCCGCTGTGCTTCCTCTTGTGTGCTTGTAATTCGCCTTTAGTCACGAAACTGTAAAAATTAACATGATATTAAAATAGATCTCTTCAGGGAGATCTTTTTTGTAAATGATAATGGAATGATGCATCCGCTTGCGCGGTTTACGCGGGGCATTAGTGGAGGATGATAGGAGACAAGTCAGTTAGTTCATCGTGACAAATTCATCAGAAATTTATCAGGATAGTTCCCAGGGGGAGCTTTGAGGTCAACCTGACATGGTACATTGCCAGCAATGGGGTTATAAATCCACATTAACAATCAACAATCACATTTCCCTACAGGAGATATATTACTATCTGACTTTGCAAACATTGTTTTGCTTTATAAAAAAAAATGCTATTAAAAGTAAGGGTTGATGGTAGAAGGGTGAAAATTTAGGGCTGTATGTATTTTTTAATGCTAAATCATAATAAAAAAAAAAAAAGAAAATATTGTCCAAAAAAATAAATCAAAATGTTAGGGCTATAGTAGCTGATTCTCAGACCTACTGAATATGTATATAAAATATCATAAAAATCAGTCAAGACATTTCAGAGGAATATGGTAACTAACATTGTGACACGAGAATTTTACACATTATATAATATAGATTAGAAGCGGGAGGAACAATATACATGATTGAAAAATGATGTGTCAACTGCTCTAATTGATCCATGTCCAGTTCAAACTAGTGATCTTACCATTAAAATTCACTGCCTGAACTACACCCTACAACTGAAACAGCATACAAAGTCAGCCACTTTGTACCTTGTCCAATCTGCATCTGGTATATATCAAATATTTGTAATTTAGAATTACCTTCTTTCACAATCGTCACATTTAAATGGCTTGTGCCCCTGATGCCTCCTCACATGTTGTTGCAAATTATTGTTCTGGCTAAATCCCCGGCCACATATTGAACACAGGAACGGCTTCTCACCGGTATGTGTGCGTATATGATCCGTTAGAGTAGACTGCATAAAAAACAACTTATTACAAATCTTACACTGATATTTCTTCTCTGTTTTATGACTTTCCAAGTGCAACTCTAAACTTTCTTTAGTTGTAAAATTGTTATTACAAAATGTGCATGTAATTCCTTGTTCACATGTGTGTACAGCTAATATATGATTGTCTAAATGAGCCTGATGCCTAAATTCCCGTTTACAAGTTATACAAGTGAATAGAACACCATCTTTCACTTGGTGTTGCCGCAAATGGTTGGATAGCGATGATTTCCTCGAAAACTTTCGGTTGCACATTGAACATTGGTACTGCAGTTCATCATTTTGATTATTGGAATGCACCTTCCTGTGCAGTCTCCACTCGACTACACTATCAAATTTTATGTCGCACCTGAGGCACTTGTGTACTTTTTTGTTGTTAGAAACCAGTTTATCCAGTATTTTGTTTTTATTCTCTGTTTTCACATCTTCAACTTCATGTTTCTCTGCTGAATCGAAAGTGTCATCGAAGTCGTTTGAGTCACCATCGTGCGAGTCAATATCCTTTTTGAATTCTTGTTTTATCGCAACTTTTTTGTCAAACTCTACTGAAACAGTTTTCAGAACAGTTCTGCGTTCAGGACATTGATTTAAACTTAATTTATTTTTACTTTCCCCCTCATTTATTGTTACATTTGAATGCAATGGCTGCTGCACCACTATGTCGAAGGTTTCTATTGGTATTTCTTCTTTAATTACTGCATTTTGAAGTGTTAGAGTCTTGTCTAATTCGTATTTGTAGGAATTAAAAATGTCATTCAAAATATTCTCGGATTCAATGCAGCGACGTTTAAAATCGTCGGCTTTAAATAAATTGTCTTTGCAATCATTACATAGCTGCTTGGGAAGTTTATTACACATTCTAATGTTAATATTGGATACGAAATTTAGCACCTCCACTATCGTACGATCACTGTCTCCTAATTTAATCAATAAAGAGGTCATGTTTGAAGATTCAGTTAAACAGACCCTGCAGATATTCATAGTACACGGTTTTATCTTGTTCGCCATCACTTTTTATGTATAAATTAAACAGTATCTAATGTTGCATCTAAAAGGACAAGATATTCAATAATGCTTTCATTTCTTTACAATTTCTAGGGATGTTAAAAAATAATCGATTATTATTTCCTTATAATCGATTGTCATTAATTGATTTTTAATAAATCGATTATATAAATTATACATTTTAATCGATTTTAATAAACAGCGTTTTCACTTTTTAGTTTCATTTTATTTTAATATTACTTTTACGTAAAACGAGATTGAAAATTAGTGTCAATAATTATTTTTGGTCTTTTGATTGTTTAAGCTTAAAGATTAACGCAAAATTTGTTTTATATTTTAGTTTTTGAGGCTACAACGTAGTTGTTTAGTTTTTTAATTATCCTTTTCAGTATTTCTTTTTTAAAACTAGTCGAATGTAAAATAGTACTGGACATTTATAGCAATTTTTTTTATTTAATTTAGATTTTAGTTTTGAGGTTGCCATTTTGCTGAGATGCTTATCGTTTCATTTTTATTATAATAAAACGTTTAATGATACTAAAAATTTGTATAAATAACGTTATTTCGTTTCCTTATTCCTTACATTGAAAGATGAAAGTACCATTAGCTTCGATTTTTAGTTTTGAATTGATTATTTCTTTATTTATATCCTTTTATTTGATTTTTAATGCAATACATTGTTAATATGATTATCTTAGGAGTATTATTGGAATATGAAAAGCATGTACATTTCTACGCAAAAAACGATTACTCATTGAAGTAAAATCGATTAATCGATTATTTTCCATTAATTTACATCACTAAAAATTTCTCGTGAGTGTTGCTAATATATTCAACTGTATCCCTAAGTTTAAAAAAGGCAAAAAGGAACAACAATCCCCCTCAATACAGAATGTCTGTATTCTTAGTGAGTGCTCACTTCCAAAAAAATATGTTACTTTTGTAGAATTTTACTTTCGTAAAGTTTTACTTACCACTCTGTAGTCCTTAGCTTTTTTTTAGTTCTTATGAGAAACGCTTAACGTTTTTGTTAGTTTCCAAATTTTACTCCTATTTCTGATCATGCATTTTTAGTTGAGTTGAATATTCATTTACCCCAAATTAAATATTTTGTCATTATCGCCATAAAATTCTCCCGAATTTAGGGGAAAATACCAATCTGGTATGTAAATACCGAAGTTCCATTGACATTTTCTGAATTATGAAATTGAGATCAAGCAGCGTATTTGATGCCATACTATTTTTAAAAGGCAAAGGAAATTAACAGTACAGCTATGTTGAATATTTAATTCTTATGAAAAAATATTAAATTTAATAGCATTGCGTATAGACGATTAATACAAGGTCATATATAAAAAGCAATACTAGTAATGGGGTGATATGCGTTGACTGTAGATATACAGATTTTATTATTAAAATAATAACCCAGGACAATTCACATAGCGCCATCTAGTTCCAAACGAAGGAGAGCTTGTGTTATGGGTATTTAGTACCCATAACACAAGCTCTCCTTCGTTTGGACTGATATAAATACTTAATAACATTTTTTTTGTAAATACTTATTCCTGGAAAACATCCAGATTCCAGACCGATACAAATAATCATACTCATTAATAAAAATTGTGGTGAAATTCCATCGTACTTTCTAGAAATGTGTCAACTCGAGTTGCGGTGAATTCGAATTAATTCGAGTTGAATTCTTACAACTCGAGTTGGAAGTATTCAACTGGTAAATGAACGAATCAAGTGAGAGCGAGAGCATGATTCTGTCGTCGAACCGACAATGACATGAAATTTTCCGATCATTTCATATCATACAATTTTCACTCGTCACAAATGTTTCAATATTGATTTGAGGTCATAATTTTTTTTCGCATATTCGTCCGGTTAAATTTTCCTTAAAATGATTATGCGTTCCATAAGTCCTTCCGCGGCTTTGAAGTGCCATTTCTACTCGCCCCCTATGGTTCAGTGAAGCTTTCAAATTAGCTAGCTGCGGCAAAAATATTAGATTTGTTCGAAAAATAAAAAATAAACTGTTTATTCCAGGTAACTCGAGTTAACTCGAGACCTGAATTTCAACTCGAGTCAACTCGAGTTATGTTTATTAAGAGTTAGCATATCTCTAGTACTTTCCATTGAAAAATAATATATAAAATTTTGTTTATCCTACTAATGTTTTTATCGTGCGAGGAATAGAACCCATAGACTAACAGGACTTTCGATAATAGGGTGGTTTGTTAAACCGTTAGGCCACAAAGCCCGTTAATTGCAGCTTAGGCCGGTCGGGATACGAACTGGAATAAAATATATCGGAACAGAAAATAAATTCTTTATTTAATTTCAATAATATCCAATTTAATTAGATTAACTTAAGTGATCCAAATAAAAATTAATACATACATATTTAATTACATTACATATTGCAGTAGTTACCAGAGTTAAAAATTAATTTTACTTGTATTGAGATCGTAAATACATCACATTTAGTAAAACGCTATTTAAAATGGTTTAGATATATTGCCATAAACCCTCTTACTTGTAGAGTTGCCAGTTTCAAAAATGAGCATTACGTACTGGGTGCAACGTGTAGAGTATAAAACCCTTGTTCGATAATCAAACTTTTCCGTTTCTAATAATGTCACTGGCAACATTTTGACACAAATAATAATAAAAGAAGGTGTAAGTCGCCCTCGTATAAAAATGTTTTCTAAAAAGTTAAACCTACGGCCTATATATTTACAATACACTGTTTGTCTGAGGTAATATTTATTATATCTCGTTTGTCCCTTTGTACTGTATATATTTAATTTGTATACGCCCTAATAATATCATAATAATGTCGAATTTATTTTTCCGTATTCGTACTAACTTACGTATTTCTCGCATCTAATATAAAACTTATATATGTAATAACTAACATATATATATTTAATTACAATTACATTAACAATGGTTTCTGATTATTGGCACTGACTATAATATATAATTATATGACGCTGTTAACCTCCCTTACAAATAAAAAAAAAATATAAAAAAATAAAACCGCATAATAACCACTAATACAATGCGTTACAAACATTTATATATATAGATATATAAATCAAACGCACCTAAACTAAATAATACATGTACAATTTTTTTTTAAATGTACGTAATATTTTTAATATAAAAATATTAACCGAATGTTAGGTCGTATGCGGTATTAATTTTGCATTATATATCACCAGATAACCATAAAATAAGTAGATAATAAATATTTAACCTCTAAGTAAATTATCTGTACGTTTTTAATCTGTCAGTCAAGTTTGGAGTAAATTTTTTCGCGGGAAAACAAATACTGGTCGAAACAAACGCACAATCCCTAATTCCCTGTAACTATTAACCTTCCTCATATAATTATATATTTACTAAGACTAGGTTACAGTTTTTTTGCCACGCGCTGTCAAAAGTACGTTGACCCCCAAAAAATTGGGTATTAATATAAATTCTATCAAAGTCCACAGACTTAACTAAGTACTAAAAACATTAAAAATATAACAATATTACAATTTGGCAGTTTTCAATTTTAATAACAAAAATATGTAATTATACGTTAGCTGCCATAAAATAATCATAATACTATAAAAAATAATATTGCTGCTCTGTGCAGCGAAAACATGGTTAGCACTGAAGTATCAAAAAAAAAAATAAGCATAAACTATTTTGCTTATAACAATCTCAATATTGTCTATACCTCAATGACTAACCTTCATGTATTAAAGTCTCTATAACTAAAAAAATAACATTAAAATAAGCTATGAAAATAATGTTTATAAAAATAATAATGTACTCTTTTCGATCACATTTCAAAACCCATTTGGTACAATTATTAATACTTTGATTGTTCAAAATGAACAATTTTGTACCAATACTTTCAGACCATAGACTATACCGTCATACTTTTTAAAAGGCAAAGATGTTTATCACCGTTCGGTGGTGTACATGTAAAAATATTTTACATAAGAAAAATCATTTTATACATAATAATTACACAAGAATCATGGCACTCTATGACTATTTGCGCAGTCGGATGTGTGGATAATTTCTTTTTAATAAATTCAAATTTAGAATAAACATGGAAGACAAATTCATAATGAACATCAACCAAAAAAGTCATTTAAAGACTAATTAATGTAAACATTTTCACAAAATCCACTCTCCGACTTTGCGGCTATCTTCATTTCATTCCAACCTTTTCTAAAAAATCCATTTTCAACTTTAAGTCAATCATAAAGAGTTGTTTTTGCAATGAAAATATCTCTTCTTTCTGTTTCAATTCTTGATTTAATATTTTCATTTTCGCCTCGTGCTCCCATATGGCGTGTTGCCGCTTCGCACTGAAGTATAGTCTTTCCTCCTCGGTTGCCGTCCCGCAGTCGTGTTTAATTTGTTCGTCTTGCTTCTCTTTCACTCTATCGTGTCCATTCTTTCTTCTGTCTTCATCCAAGTGGCTTAAATTTAGGGGAGTATTAGAAAAGTCGTTCAATTTATGAATTAGGGTTTGTTGTATGCGTGCTTGTTCGCTTGCGTGTAAGGTGCTGGATAGGACTGTTATGTGGGGATTTAGGGGGTTGTGGGGTTTGTGAGAGGGGGGCGTTGGGGGTGAATGGTGGATGATTTGGACTTGGGGTTCAAGTACGTTTGGCATCGTGTCGTCGCTATCGTTCGTGCTGGATAATCGGCCGTTTGACATCTGTAACGATAACAATAAATAAATAAACCTAGACGATTAATACAGCGCCATCTAGTCCCACGGTAAGCAAAGCTTGTGTTATATGTACTAGACAACTGATATAAATACTTATGATATTTCTTTTGTAAATACATAGAAAACACCCAGACCGATACAAATAAACATACTCATGAATACAAATGTTTGCACTATGCGAGGAATCGAACCCGCGACCATCGAAAGGAAAGCGGCGTGCTAAACCGCTAGACCACCGAGACCGTCATATAATCTGGAGAGGTGAAATAATGGAAGCAAGAAACTCAGCTCACTACTACTCAGTGGACACCAGCATAAGCTATTGCAAATAAAGTAAATAGTCTAATCAGTATTCGTAACCCGAGCAGACCAGTCCCCTCAAACCGCACGCGTTCACGAGTATGACGGATGATTCTAGTTACATAAAATATTGTGTTTAAAAGAATACTCACGTTAACCGGTAGGCAGTCGTCATCTTTACCGCTGTGGGCTAGTTCCGCGCTGGCCGTGGCCTCTCCCTCCTCCTCTGCCAATAGCGAAAACGGTTCTTATGATAATATGTGGAGACTCACAAATCATCCCCATTCATCCCAAATTATTGATCTCTTTCTCTTGTGGCGAATTTACTATCATAGCATGGCAACACCGTTGTTTAGTTAAGACGGAATTTTATGAATAGAGAAATGTTAGACATTGAAAACAAGAACAAAACTTCGACTTTAGTGTACTTGTTAAAGTAGGGCTCAAAAGGACATGAATCCAGAGCCGTAAAACATAATGAAGAAAAAAAAGTTAAGACAGTATTAGGATAATGACAAGCCGGTCATTAGGGATCGAATCTTCTTGTATTATATATCACTAGCTTTTGCCCGCGGCTTCGCTCGCGTTAATTTATCCCTTTAGGGGTGGGATTTATCAAAATCCTTTCTTAGGGGATGCCTATGTCATAGTAGTTTTATGCATGCAAAGTCTCAGCCCGATCGGTTTAAAATTGACAAAGTTTCATATAAACTTTCTTCCCATATTTTATCCCTTTGGGGGTAGAATTAATCAAAATCCTTTCTTAGCGGATGCCTACGTCATAACATCTACCTGCATGCCAAATTTCAGCCCGATCCGTCCAGTGGTTTGGGATGTGCGTTGATAGATCACTACGTCAGTCACCTTTGAGTTATATATTTGGACTAGCTGTCCCGGCAAACGTTGTTTTGCCATATAAATTAATAACGCTATAAAAAATAGGGGTTGATGATAGAAGGGTGAAAATTTAGGATTGTATGTATTTTTGTATGTTGTATCATAAAAATGTGGAAACTAAAAATTTTGTCTAAAAAATAAAAAAATAAAAATTAGAGGTGGACTACCACTAACATTTAGGGGGATGAAAAATAGATGTTGGCCGATTCTCTGACCTACTCAATACGCTCACAAAATTTCATGAGAATCGGTCAAGCCGTTTCGGAGGAGTATGGGAACGAAAACTGTGACACGAGAATATTATATTATATATAAGATTTGTAAATACACATACAAATATAAATGTTAAGGAAGAGGAAGCTAAAGAGTTGAATGATACAGGTTATTGTCTCATTCAACTCTTTATTGCTGATGCCGCTGTCACAAGTATATATTTTTTTATTTATTTTTGCACTTTTTTGCACCAGTTACAGAAAATATTAATTACTATAAAAATATGTATAACAATGACGAGTACAAAAGGCGGCCTTGTCGCTAAGCAATCTCTTACAGGCAACCTTTAGGTAGTAAGTACAGTACAGTTACTTTAGACAGTGAAAATATAAGAAAAAGAGTAGGTGGTACAAATGACAACACAACTAAGATGGGTATAAATAATACATGCAAATATACATAACTATATATAGACATACATATGTACATACCTACATAAACATACATAAACTTAATAATACACATATCCATGGAAAGTTTGAAGGAAAGAAAGGGACTATAAGAAAAAGGAAAAGTAGAACTAAAGGGAAAGGAAATGAGTTTTTACTGATGCTTTAAAGCAAGAGATTGAGCGCGCCGAATAGGAGCGGGAAGCGGTATAAAGCCGAACACAAGGCAAAAGAAGATTTGGACATTGAACTGAAGAGTATGGTAGTACCTTTAACATCTAGAGGATGCACGTTCTGCCAGAGCATGCCGTCTAGCAGATTCTGAGGGTCGGCTGGTGGTTGCTGTAACAATACCAACATGAACTTTAAGAAAATTGTAGTTTAAAATAATATATGGTATATGATCATCATCATCATCATCATTCAACCCGGAAGACGTCCACTGCTGAACAAAAGCCTCCCCCAAAGATGTTACGACGATCAGTGCTGTGGCAACGCCTTCCAGCGATCTTGACCAGATCATCGGTCCAACTTGCTGGAAGCCCTCCCACGCTGCGTCTTCCGGTCTGCGGTTGCCATTCGAGCACCTTACTGCCACAACGGCCATCTGTCCTACGAGCTGTGCCATGCCCATTGCACTTCAGTTTCGCAATTTTTCTATGGCGGTCACTCTGGTTCTACTGCGGATCTTTTCATTTCCGATACGATCAGGCAGAGAAACTCTAAGCATAGCCCTCTCATATAATAATAGTTACCGGGGTTAGTTACTATTTACACTGCGCCATCTAGTGCCAAGATAAGCTGAGCTTATGGGTACTAGACAACACATTTTACCTTAAATACATTTATTTTATATTATTTTATTGCAAAATCCTAAGATAACTAATATTATAAACACGGAAGTTTGTAAGTGTCCAAAAATAAATGGATGGATGGTTTGTTACTTGTTCACGTAATAACTACTTTTTATTTACTGAATGCATTTTTATAACAGATTACAATAATATAGTTTCTATATCATAACTTGCTTTTGCCCGCGGCTTCGCTCGCGTTAATTTATCCCCTTAGGGGTGGAATTTATCAAAATCCTTTCTTAGGAGATGCCTACGTCATAATACCTTTATGCATGCAAAGTCTCAGCCCGATCGGTTTAAAATTGACAAAGTTTCATACAAACTTTCATACCCTATATTATCCATTTGGGGGTAGAATTAATCAAAATCCTTTCTTAGCGGATGCCTACGTCATAACATCTACCTGCATGCCAAATTTCAGCCCGATCCGTCCAGTGGTTTGGGCTGTGCGTTGATAGATCACTACGTCAGTCACCTTTGAGTTATATATATTTAGATAAGCCGCGAGGACAGCTGTTCCCGCGGTTTAATTAGTATAATTCTGTGAGAGAATTATAGTAGTAGTAATTAATTCTCGATTTCTCGAGTTCTCCTTCTTGATTTTTCTCGACTCGAGAAACCTCGAGCAAAAACCTTGGTAACCCTTGTCTTTCATTCCGATGAGGTAAGAAACCGTACCTGTGTATCGTGGGCGCGCATTTTGCACTTCTTCTTGTAGTTCTCGTACCACATCTTGACCTGCGCGGGAGTTCGCGGCCGCTCGCCGCCGCACCGTTTGTTCACCTCCTCGCATATGGTCGACCACACCAGCTACAACAGGACAAAATAATCACTATTAGTTTAAATATATTGCACCTTAAAAAAATACAAAAAAGAGAATACTTAGAAGATGTAGGTAAAAAAGCCCTTATCAATTTTTTAATTAAAAAAAATTAAAAAAATATGGTAAGTTTTGGGCTATGGTTAATTGCTAAGACCTGTACAGATCTATTGTGCTCGCCCTTTTTCAAAGCTCGCTGCCTAGACCCGTAAGTCTTATCGATTAAACGATCGCATATTATATTAGCTGTGCCCGCTCTTTCGCCGGCATGAAATTTATAGCCTGTGTTATTCTGATGTATAAGCTATATTATAGTAAAGTTTCATTAAAATCCATTCAGTAGTTTGTGCGTGAAGAAGTAACAAACACCCAAACTTGCACGTTTATAATATTAGTAAGATTCCATGAGGTGGTCTACCGACTTAGAACACCGCTTTACTTCCTATAGCGGGTTCGATTCCTCGCACGATGCAAATATTTGCATTCATGAGTATGAGTCTTTGTATCGGTCTGGGTATTTTAAATACATGTATCAGTTTTCTGTATTAAATATGTATGATAATGGATGGACGCTGGCGAGGCACCAGTGGAGGATGATAGGATGACCATGAGGTAAGGTCAGTTACCACAAAGTATTGAATTCACCAAGAATCTACAACGATGGTTTCCAGAAGAAATGTGGAGGTCAACCTGACATGGTACATTGCTAGCAATGGAGTTTATATTTAGATGATAATGGAATGGTGCATCCGCCTGCGCTAACGGCTCTCGCTGACGGGGCACTAGTGGAGGATGATAAAATGAGCAAGAAGTTAGGTCAGTTAGCCCATTTTGGCTAATGGTAATTTATCACATTCCTTCAGACCGCGTGGAGGTCAAAGTTATATAGTAGGTACATATCATCAATCCCCTCCCCCCGCTAGCAATAGGGTTATTAGTCCACGTCCCCCCCCCCAGATATGACTTATCATAAGCATGACTAATATACCTACATTAACAAAAAAAAAAAATACATATACGCCGAAAGGTTGTCGCCGAAAAGAAATCGGCAGAATTTTAACAAAACAAAAACAATGTTATATGTATAAAGATATTTTGATTGGGTTTAAACAACTCACATAGTTATATAACTGGCTTTGAGGATCCATATGTACCACAAAATTGTCACTGTTTGTCAATTCAATACTCTAAAGAGAATTTAATGCATGCATTGATTTATGTCAAAGATTAATAAAAAAAATTACACAGACGGGTATTGCCTACTACTACCTACCTATTTTTTTTCGGATTACTCTAATGCTGTTAGCCACAGCTGGCCTTTACAGCTTTATCGTACGATAGGGGGCGAATGCAGATGGCACTCCAAACCAAAGGAAGGACTTATGGAGGGGCTGAAGGCCAACTCCCGCCTGACGGATACGACTTTAGAGACCCTACCTAATAATATAAATAAAATAATCATTCTGATTACGACTGTTGTACAAGATGGGATATAATATACATAGAAAACACCCAGACGAACATAAACAATCATACTCATACTACTCCTTATACAAATGTTTATACCGGGCGAGGAATCGAAATTAAATACATATAAAATATACATAGAAAACATCAGGTTTATATGTAGACTTAATTAAAATAACTAAAAGTTCAATTATAAAAGTTTACTAAGTTGTTCCTTATAACATTCGCTATCTGCCAATGAAAGTCCCATCAAAGACCGTTTCAGAGATTCGCAAGAACATACAGGAGGACATTTTTTTTATGTAAGTACCATAAACTTTCATTAGAAATTAGAAACTTTATTTTATTTATTTATATAGTTGACCAGCTTTCCGAATGAGTGGTATATTAAAAAAAAGTATGATTATTGAAAAGTGCTTAAAGTTAAGTTTATTGAAATAAATAGTTTTCTATTCTATAGATAACTAGCTGTACTCGCGACTTCGTCCGAGTGGATTATTCTAAATTATAGGTTTTTTTCTAAAATAGCCTAAGTTACTCCTTATTACATTAGCTATCTGCCAAAAAAAAGTCCTGCCTAAATCGGTCCATCCATTAGAGATTAGAGATTAGCCGGAACAAACAGACAGACAGACAGACAAAAATTGTAAATAATGTTATTTTGGTGTATTTGCCGTATTTATATTCATATGCATGTAGTAAAAAACGGTTATTTTAATATTACAAACAGATACTCCAATTTTATTTATATGTATAGATTACGATATACTGGGGCTACGTAAAATGTACACACAAAAAACAACACATCGCTTTCTTCCAGTCACCACATAGAGTAGGCATTCATAAATTACCATTTCGCACCGTCTGTTCCATAATCTATGGCTTACACGAGTCAACCGAAGTGCAGTATCAGCAATAAACATAGTGTTATATTACATCGCACCGATGGTGTCACAGACTACAGGTGTCATATTATGTTTTACCGCGCAGTTATAATTGAAAACAAGTTTGGAAATTGTTACTATGTAGGTAATATTATAACCCAGGACAATTAACACAGCGCCATCTAGTCCCAATTTAAGCAAAGCTTGTGTTCTATGTACTGGACAACTAATATAATTACATAAAAATCTATTTTGTAAATAGAATAGGAAATTCTTTATTCAACTATACTTGAATTTAAATAGTATAAAATAGTCATTACTTATTTTTTTTAATTTACCGCTCATTCGTAAAGCTGTCTCATCACAAGATGAACGAACAAGATTGCGTGTTGCTCTTTTAAATAATCGTTGTAACTTTACATTTTTAAGTTATAATGTGTTAATACAAACTATCAACTGACACAAATTCATTGGTTTCAAAATATTAAATAGACAACCAACTGGTTGAGTTTGAAAATAAGAGTAAATCAGTCGTAGTGATTAAAGCAGAACAGTTTTCACATGTAGCACTCGTTCACGAGTATGATGGATGAAAATACACACTTATGTGTGTATACATAGGAAACACCCAGACCTATACAAACAATTATACTCATGAATACAAACGTTTGTACTTTGCGAGGGATCGAACCCGCGAGCATGGGAAGTAGGTGGTGTGCTAAACCAGTAGACCACTGCTACCACTGATTTGAGTCGTACAGAGAAACTGTCGGACTACTCTAATGCTGTGTTGTCCGCAGCTGGCCTTTACAGCTTCACCGGACGATAGATGTCGAGTGCAAATGGCACTCCAAACCAAAGGAAGAATTTATGCAGCGGTAGATATCTGTGCTAAATATTATGAGGGGATATTAAAAAAATACATTAAAACGTGGTAATCCATAGTACATATAACAATATTGTTTGTTTGCCCTGGAGACGTTGAATCCTTGGAGGCCGGAAGCGAAATTGTATTTGACGAAAATTTCAGAGCAGCCCATCAAAGTTACTTGTGACCCGAGAGCTGGTAGCTACTTTGCCCAACGGCTATGGCCATTCAGTATCTTGGGTACGCTGCCTCGATGTGCCGCGATGGATTACGTTGTTTTTTTTTAATGTGTTAATAGAGAAAATAAAAAAATATTAAATTCCCATTCCTGTTTTAGACTTTTTACAAACTATCTCTTTACTCAAATGTAGAGCAGAAGGTAAAATACGATAAACATAATCGGAGGTATGTAAACCGTTACGCGATAACTCGATATACGTAGGAAGGTCGTATATGACCAGCAATTATCTAATTTAACTAACGTTTGACCATTTTAGGGTACCGTAAATCTTTTTATACTTACTTAAAAAAAAACGACGAATAAACTAAAAAATTCTAAATTCAAAACTCATTTAGTCAAGACACTTTAGCCGCTTATGAAATTTAAGTCGCCGTCAAATTTCTTATATTATAATTTTTTTTTCCCTACCGTCTAGTATATACAGATACAATTGAGAAGAACTGGCAAGAAACACAATTGAATGTTTTTTTTCTTGTATCCAGAGCCGTAAAATATTAAAAAAAAAAAAGATTTTTTTAAAGCCAGTTTATTTACAATCTATATTTCTATTAAATGAAAATCCCGTACATGAACAAATATTTCCATTACGCTCAATTCGTGTAATTGACTCCTTGATAAATTTCTATATTATTTTTCAATTTTATAATCATATTTTTGTTAATGTTTTTTTTTTTATATATCTCTGTTGTATTAGTAGCATTTATAATTATCTCCGCATTTTTCCTTATAAAACCTTCAATAACTCTCACTCATTAGGTATTTCAGACCCCTGTTTCAATTTAAATGCATTTTTTGTATGCTATAGAATAGGTGGTACATGAACAACTAAACATCTAACTTTACTAATATATATTTGACCATTTTAGAGTACCTTAAGTTTATTTAATGGATTTATATTATTTTGTTTAATTCTGCTACCATTAGCATGTGTGAGACCACAAATATTTAGTGCGGAAACCTGACCACCGCTACTGGAAGCGTTACGACCTTCTCTATTGGTGATCAAATTACAATCGTTATTGGATATAAACCCATTTTTTTATTGGGGGTTTTGGGCTATTGTCAGATGCTTAGACCTGTAACACTGCGACCTGTATAGCTCTATTATGCTAGCCCTTTTTTCAAAGTACGCTACCTAGACCCGTTAGGGACAAAATTGAAGCATATTCTTAGGAGCGATGGTTTTATCTCCTCAGAGTAAAGGTTCGTTTGTGCGTGAGTGGGCTACAACCACATAGATGTGTAGTGGTGTTTTCCTTTGAGCTTGACAAAATCTGCAGATTTTTGCCGAGTACAGGCCGAAATTTGCCATGTGTTTTTTCTTGTGAATAATTCGAAAAAAGTATAAATATATTATAAGTTAAAATGTAAGTACAGAACCCAGTGTGCGTATGTACACATTCACTCGTGACCATAAAAAACGTTTATCAACTATTACACGCTGTTTATAATCACAGTATCTTATATATAATTGATAAGTAATGTAGTAATTACTTACATATTATGTTTTCCTATAACTAATTAAATAGGAATTCCTTTGTTTTTTTCTATCTTATGATTAAACTAATTAAAGTATTTGACAGAAACCTACTTTTCATACCGATTTCAAAAAAAGGACAACTTTCACAATTGGCAGATTTTTAAAAAGTAATTCTTAGGAATGTTCTTATCTTAGAACTTACTTCTATGTGAACCGATTTTGATAATTCTGTTTTTAGTTCAAAGCCTATATTTGTAAAAAGTCGTCTGCATAGGTACCTCAGACTCGCCTATTCCAGCCGCCAAGCAGCTTGCTTTGTAAGCGGTGTTTTGGCTTGACATATTAGTCCTTTGGAATGGGAACACATGAGTGATATCACGGGCGTCACATGATAACCCGATGCCCGTAGTACTGCCATATGCAAAGGTCATATTTAGATCAAGATCTGACTAGTTAAGGGTCGGGCCCTGAGGGCCCCACATAAATTACTAAATTTGTGATCGGTACTTATTGAATTATTTTAAAATAATGTTATTAGTGTTGTTTTTTTTTGGCCTGTACACGCTATTATTACAAACAATATAGAAATAGTATTAAAATATAAATCAATTTCATACACATTCTAAATGTAACATTACAAAAAAAATCATTCAGAAGATTTTTTTTGTAATGTTACATTTAGAATTCAGCCAAGCATGAGCAGAAACTTGGCTGGTGCTTTTCTCTTCTTTTTCAAACGAGTTGTGAACATAATAATGTACTAACATTAACTAAAATTTATTTTAAATCTTTTAAGTTTAACATAGTTTTCCTATTTATTACCGTACACCTTTACCTATTGACAACTTACTTAACTACATTTATTTAAAAGACCTACACGCAAGTCACATGCTCGTTCCTCTAGTGATAATAAGTCTGCGTTCCGAATGAATGGTAGATTAAAAAAAATGTGACTGTATTAAGTTCTATTTGAATATACATATTTGTACTATATTTGTATGTAGCCAATGGGTCGACCATTGGCTTTGCGGCGTGATATTGCATCTGTGCATTTTCTACCGCATATATCACGGGGAGTGTTCTGAGGAATTGTTCGGATTAATACCAGCTGCTGAGTTTCACCACCGTACCACCCGCCAGAAACTGAAATATCCTGATCATCTGGATGAATGGCGGTCTTCCACAGTGCGGTTTTCTAGAAACTTTTTGCCTCGCACAACCACATTGTGGAATCACCTTTCAGCAATGGTATTTCCGAACCGATACGATATTGAAACCTTAAAGAAAAGAACTTATTCCTTTTTAAAAGGCCGACAACGTAATTGCAATTCCCCTGGTATTGCGGGTGCTCATGGGCGGCGGTAATGACTTACCATCAGGTGTGCCGCATGCTCGTTTGTACCGTGTTATAAAATATTTTTTTTTGATTTTTTCTTGAGTTATAATCATGAAGGTTCTACAAAGATGTCTACGAAAGAAATTCATCATGGTTTCTAGGGGAAGCCGCATGGATTGCTAGCAATGGAGTCATCAGTTCACATTGCTAAATGATAGTTCGTCGAGTTACCTATTTACTCCGGTTGGTGGCGCTGTTAGAGCGCTCCTGGCGGAACACGGATCTATCAGACATGGTACGTTGCTAGCAATGGGGTAATCAGTTAACATTCCTAAATGATAGATCGGTCGAGTTACCTGTTTACTCCGGTTGGTGGCGTTGTTGGAGCGCCCCTGGCGGAGCACGTCGCGGTGCCTCGCGATCAGCTCGAGCACCGTGCGTTTCTCCAACTCGGTAAAGTTTTTGGAGCGTTCCTTGTGACCGCGGCGGGCCCGGAGCGCTGTAGCTCCGCTGCGGGTTGACATGTCAGTCTGTAACATACATACACAACCATCACATCTATACAAAGTACAGTGCTGTATTATTTTATTTACTAACAACCCGTCCGCAACGGCTTCGCACAGGCAGAATATTTGAGGTTCTTCTTTTATTAAAATTAAAATATCTCCTAAAATGTTCTTTAAAATCATTATTTTATTTACTACTTATTACGGGCATCGCACGGGTCCAATATTTGAGGTCCTTCTTTTATTAAAATTAAAATATCTCCTAAAATGTTCTTTGAAATCATTATTTTGTTTACTAGTTATTACTGCCTTCGCACGGGTTCAATATTTGAGGTCCTTCTTTTATTAGAACTCAGATATCTCCTAACATTTTCTTTGAAATCATTACTTTATTTATTAATTATTACTGGTTACGCACGGGTTCAATATTTGAGGTCCTTCTTTTATTAAAATTAAGATACATTCTTAAAATGTTCTTTGAAATAATTATTTTATCTACTAGTTATTACTGGCTACGCATGGATTCAATATTTGAGGTCCTTCTTTTATTAAAATTAAAATATCTCCTAAAATGTTCTTTGAAATCATTATTTTATTTACTAGTTATTACTGGCTTCTCACGTGTCCAATATTTGAAATCCTTCTTTTATTAGAACTCAGATATCTCCTAAAATGTTCTTTGAAATCATTATTTTATCTACTAGTTATTACTGGCTACGCATGGATCCAATATTTGAGGTCCTTTTTTATTAAAATTAAAATATCCCCTAAAATGTTCTTTGAAATCATTATTTTGTTTACTAGTTATTACTGCCTTCCCAATATGTGAGGACTTCTTTTATTCAAAGTAAGGTATCGCTGAACATTTTCTTTGAAATTATTATTTTATTTACTGGCTTCGCACGGGCCCAATATTTGGAGGTTTTTCTTCTATTAAAACCAAGATATTTCGTAAAGTATTCGTGAAAATCTTGCTTGGCACGGGCCCCATATTTGAGGCCCTTCTTTAATTAAAACTGAGATATCACCTGAATCAAATCTTTTTTTACTAGCTATTACTGGATAGAAGTTTGAAACTTATTTTTTAGGCTGTTGATTAAATGTAGATAAATAGGACATTCGAAGTTAGTAACAAATTTACCATTAAAATAGGGGATGATTTGAGATACTTTTTTTTTTACTTTGTTGATTAGATTATTAAATATTATTTGGTTAAGGTCACTATTCCATGCGCACGATGTCGCGGACACATCTAGTACTTCCTATCCGCATTGGTTTTTTTTAAAGTCTCACAATCAGATAAGGCAATTAGGATATTACGCATGTAACATACGTACAAATTGTAATCTATTGGTGCAATTCTATTAACCTACTAATGACGAGCTCGGTGGTTTAGCGGTTTAGCACACCGCTTTACCACCGATCGTTGCGGGTTCGATTCCTCACACAATCAACATTTGTATTCATGTAATGTATGTAAAAAATGTAATATATTTTTTTTTATTCACACAGCGCCATCTAGTCTCAAGTTAAGCTATCTAAAGCGTGTGTTATGGGTACTAGATAACTGATAAATACATAAACATTTTTTTTTCGTAAATACATACATATTATATATATAGACTGATCACACAATCATACTCATGAACACAAATGTTCGTACCGTATGTGGAATCGAACTCGCGACCATCGGAAGTAAGACAGTGTGGTAGACCACCGAGGCTGTCAAAAAATATTTGATTTCATATTATTGATATATAATTTCGCAAGAGGGATGTAAAGATATTTTACGTCCTGCTCTGACTCACAGCTTTGTAAGTACGTGTAATCGATTTCTGGTGACGTCACGATGTACCTATCTTTATCACTCTAGGTGGTAAAACGAATATTAAAAAAATTAATTAGAATAATAGACTGATTGATTGATAACACAATATGATAAGTCTATTGTTTGTGTGATGCGTTATTCTTTGCGTACCTTCTCCAATATCTTTACCGACATCAAGAATAATAACTTTCTGTGCCTGCGGTTTCCCCCGCATGAAATTTTTCCTGGTGAATTTGCCACGATGGGCTAATGTTTGTATGACAATAGTCTATTGTTTGTGTGAGTCGTTATTCTTCGCGTACCTTCTCCAATTTCTTCACCGACTTCGAGAATAATAACTAGCAATGCCCGCGGTTCCGCCCGCATGAAATTTTTCCTGGCGAATTTGCCACGACTAATTGACCTGACCTCAGATTCCTAGCTGTGCTCGAGGTTTCATCCGCATGGAATTTATAGCCAGTGTTATCTGATGCATAAGCTATATTATTGTAAAATGTCATCAAAATCTGTTCAATAGTTTTTGCGTGAAAGAGTAACAAACATCCATACTTTGACGGTTTCGACGGTCGAGTGGATTAGCACACCGCTTTACCTCCGATGGTCGCGTGTTCGATTCATCGCATAGTACAAACGTTTGTATTCCTGAGTATGATCGTTTGTATCTGTTTGGGTGTATTCTATGTAAATTATGTACGTATTAAAAAAAATACGAGTATTTATATCAGTTGGCTAGTACCCATAACACAAGCTTTAGTTTTTATGGGACTAGATGGCGCTGTGTTAATTGTCCAGGGATAATTATTTTTATTTAATTATATAATTTTTTTAATTATACCATTCTATTAATATTTACAGAACTTCAGTAACAGTAAAAATCGTGTAAATATTAATAAAATGGTATATATATATATACATATATAACTTTATACTTAATTTTGTACACAGGCTTTCCTAGCGCAGGTTCCATAGCATCATCCTCAAAAGGTGGATGAATAGGAGATGGCCACTGACGTACCGCATGACACAGATATTGTCCGGGCACGGTTGCTTCGGGCGGTATCTGTGTCATGTGGCGAGGAAGGAGCCGACGACCGGCTGCCACGAGTGCGGAGGTGTAGAGGACACGGCGCAACACACGCTGGAAATATGTCCAGCGTTTGAGAGTGAGCGCCGTGTCCTCACACGAATAGTGGGGGACGATCTCTCGCTGCCGAATTTAGTTCGGAGGATGATCAGTAGCGAGAGATCGTGGCTGGCGGTGAGCTCCTTCTGCGAGGAAGTTATCTCGCGGAAGGAGGCGGCGGAAAGGGAGCGGGAGTCAGCTCGTCCCGCTTCCCTCCGCCGCAGAAGAGCCAGGCCTAGAGGTGGGGGCGTATCCAACTTCACCCCCTTCTATCCCCCACTGGGGCCGGGGTGACTGCCTTGAGGGAGGCAATCCCCCCAATCCAAAGGCCCCGGAGGTGTGCGCGTGTACCCACACGCCTCCACAATGGAGTAGGGCGAAATAGGTCGCCCTAACCACATAGCGAGATGGGGCCTGCCCTACAACATCTACAGGGCGGGCCGTCGCCGTCGGAGCTGGGGTAGAAATGCACTCGCGAATCCCCTGGCTCCGGCATAGGCGCTCGTAGGTACACCGTGTGGTTTTTGGTGAGTACAAATCTCACACACTGCCCCGCCCTCCCTCCGGCAGGGTGACGGTCTTTTGAAGATTTTCCACACGTTAAAAAAAAAAAAAGGTTCCATAGCATCCTCTTATTATTATATTTACACGATTCATGGAATTAGGTGTTATTTTGCGGAATATTATTTTGTTTAACAATTTAAAAAATTATTATTATGTGTGAGACCACAAATATTCAGTGCGGAAACTTGACTACTGTTACGACCTTCTCTATTGGTGATCAAATTCCGACCGTTACTGAGTCCATATTGCGACACGTGTTTCGTCTCTGAACGAGGCAGAAGCTTGGAAGCCTAGTGTTGACTATTTGCTGCGACTCGCAATTCGGTTGTTTGGACAAAATGTTTTTATCGTGGGAGAAATCGAAGCCGCGACCATCGGAAATAAAATGGGGTGCTAAACCACTCTACCACCGAGGCATCGATCAAACGATTAGACTGCGAGTCGTAGTTTGGTTTTATGGACAAAATTTGTATCGTGCGAGGAATCAAACCTGCAACCAACGAAAGTAAAGCGAGGTGCTAAACCATTAGACCACCGAGGCATCATCAAACGACCAAACTACGTGTCGCAATTTAGTCGTTTGGACAAAATGTTTGTTTCTGACGGAGGAATCGAACCCGCGACCATCGGATATAAAGCGGCGTTCTAAACCGCTAAACCACCGAGGCCGTCAAGTATTACATAATGCGATATGTTTGAGATATTTGGATGTTATCAATTTCAACATTCAAATATTTCAAACAAGTGCGAGTATGGTCCGGTATGCAAATTCATAATAAACACCTGTATTATATTAGTTTACATGCCATTTGACATTATCTGGCGTTAAACTAGCGAGATTTTTGCATCTGTGGCAAAAACAGCGGTGGCCTTACTCCTTGCGAGGCTCTGGGCTTTGCGCCTTTCGCATAGGGCCCCCTTTGTCCTTTTTTTCGGACTACTCTAATTCTGTTGGCCGCAGCTGGCCTTTACAGCTTCACCGGACGATAGGCGGCAAGTGCAGATGGCACTCCGAACTAAAGGAAGGGCTTATGGAGCGGTTAAAGGCCAACTTGTGTCTGACGGATAAGACTTTAGTCTAGGGGTTCGAACCTAGGGTCGGCCGTCGTAATATCGGTCCCCGTTTGAATTGGACGGGGGATCCATCGGAGGAGGGGCCTTTGTCCTACGTGAAAAGTATGTGATGCGAACTATTATGCGGAAATCCACTGATTCAAGAAAACTATGCCTTAATTTACATTTTTTTAACACAGTGAAGATCACACTGAAAAATCTTATTTCTGACATGGCATTATTTATTATTTATTGTTACTGTTGGCGACTGACCGCCAAAAACTTTTGATATTTTTATTATTTTTAAATGTATATTTTTGAAGAGTTCCTTTTTATATGTCATGTTATTTGATATACTTCAATTTATTGTATTATTCTCTCATTGTCTTTTGGATGGTTCGCAATTGCATTCTAATATATTTTACTATCATATTATATACGTGTTTTCACCATTTC